AGTACCAATTAGATTTTTATAAGAAAGTCTATCAAATAGGCGGGACTAAAAATCAAGGAGAGAAGTTGCAAGAAAATGTTGAGATTGGAGTTGAAAAAGTCTTATAATAGAGACATTCTTATAAGAGGTAGAGTTAGTGAACTGATATAAAAGGGCAGTAGAGAGGGATTTAATTTGTAATGACCAGAGATCATTCAAATTGTAAAATTGTTTGAAGTTCAAAGAACATTCAGAAGGGTAGAAGCGAATTTGTTCTTTTTCTTGAATAGAAAATGGACAGATGCAAAAAGTAAAAGACATTTTTATTGCGACAAGGATGTTAGCTACATACAATATTTTAGCAAAAGCAAAGCACCATATTAATAATGTAAGAAATTTATTTATCAGTTAAAGGTTTATATCATATTAGAAAAATAAAACGGTTGATGTTGAAAGCAAGTTTTTTAACGAATGTTGGTGAGCGTTTGCTGTTGATCCAGTTTCTGGTTCAATATAGATTATAGATAAACTGAATTTGAGAGGGATTATTATGGTATTAGAAGATTTGGTTAATAGCTTGGATTTATTCTTATTAAGTGCTGATCTAGTGAGATCATAGAATTCTTCAGCAACTTCAAGAATAGATTTCAAATCTTGTTTTGAACTGGCAATCCAGTTAGTATCATCCATAAATGTGAGTAAAGAAACACTAGCAGATAGAGAACTGATAGTCATAGTGGTTAAGTCAGAGGTCCAGATGTGATTGATAGCGTATCCTTTGTTTAGTGATGCAACTTTACAAAGAAGAGGATCTAAATAAATGTACTAAAGTAAGGGTGATATAACTTCTTCTTGATCAATACCAATTTTTACGTTATAGTAATCTGAAGTTCCATGTGTAGTAAAGATAACATTTTTTCTTGTGGTGAAAAGATTGATCAGAAGATCAACAGTAGGTTTTGGAACTTTGATGCAGTTGAGGGTAAGACGAAGAAAATTTAAATCTACTCTGTCATAGACTTTAGAGAGATCTTGAAGTAAAATCCAAATTTCCTTTTTTATTTTCAATTGCATCTTCAAGCAACATATTAACAATTTTGATAGGTGCTTCAGTTGATCTACCGGGTAGACCAGCAAAATTCTCATCTCGTAATATATTGTGTTTAGTAAGTATTATGGAGAGTCTGTTGATGATAATTTTGACAAACCTTTTCGGCAAGTCTCCAACAAGGTTCCTATAGAGTTTTTTTTATTAAACTAAAACTACCATCACATTTGAATTTGGTGTGCCTAGAAATCATGAAATTTAATTTAATACTTTTATAATAACCACAAATTACAAAATATAAATAAAACCAAATAATTATATTATTTTTATTTTGTTTTTTAGCATTATTACAAGTAATCTTTAAATGTTTTTCACCTTTATTCAATTTCTTAATTCTATCAAAAATCATACTAAGAATGTCATTAGGACCTTTTTCTATAATTTCATCTTCATTAAGAATATAATTAATTTATTCCCTTACTGTTTCATCTTGAATACCAAACAAATGGACTTTATATAGATTAAGGTAATAAATTTTACTTACTTATTGATCTAAATGTGACATATGAACATTTTGGGCTCAATCATAACTGTAATGAGCAGTAGCATCAATGCTGCAATATTGTGTTTTACCCTTTGAATAATTTTGATCAACTAATTTTCTTTGTTTTCTGCTAATTTAGTATTTTTATTATAATAATTTCTTTCTAATCTTGCCTTGGACAGATATTCTTTAAATCTTTTAAGTAAATCTTTAGCTTCTTCCTCTTGAAAAGCATTATATTGTAAACTATTTTAAAAATGTTGACAAGTATCACACAAGTCAGTTCTAGGACTCATAATTTAAATTTCTGGTGTTATTTAATGTTATAATTTTTTGAATGCATCATATTTCAAAGATTTTAAATTACTATCTTCTTTTAGATCAGCTAAAAAATTTCTGTACACTGATTTATAACTTATTTCAGCTGGTAAGAATGTAACTGATTGAATTATTCTATTGATACTTTTTTCTGAACTTGGTAATCCATGAACTTTAGCATAATTTTTCAGAAAATTCTTTACTACTTCTACAACATTTTTATCAATTACTATTTTAGTTTTTTATTAAGGCATCCTTTTAATATTATCATGAATTCTTGGTAGGAGACCATTATTTATTAAATGATTTCTAATATTTTCAAAATAAGTTTTACCAATTCCTAACATATTGAGATAAGTTTTTTGACAAAGGAGTGTATTGTGATCCCAATGGTAGAAAGCTTTTTATTAGATCTAGTTTTCTTTTTAAGACATCTACTAGTGCTTGTTAATCCACCATCTATTGCCTTAAGTTAAGCCATTAAAAATATATTTGGTTCAGATTTAGAAAGAGCTTGAAAAAATTCCCTTAATTCTGAAAATTCTTTCTTAGGAATTCTTAAAGAACAACCATAATTACAACCTTTTTTTAAAAAATCAATAGCCTTTTGATATTCATTAGATCCATTATATTTACTATTACTTTTCATATACACTTATCCATATATATATAATTTTATAATTTCATATTCACTTTGTAGGTTTTAATTTATTTTAAAATTGAAGAGATTTTAAATTGGTCTTATGGTGACAAGTAAAGTAGGCAGACAGAAGTATTTTCAAGCATATATTCAATAATTAACATAAAAGAGAATAAAATCCTCAATTGGTTCCATGGAAAATAATTATGTTAAGATTAAATTATTTAAACATTAAATTTTAATATTATTAATGTTAAATTAATGAAAAGTCTGTGTACAGTTTATTATAAAAAACCTTGTCAATCTTGACCTAAGAGATATAAATAAGGAAATTGTTTGCATAAAAAACTATTAACCTTTCTTACATATATGTATATTAGCTTTAGTTTTACAAATATATCCAAATTTTTTAGTTAAAAATTTAATTGGGTAGGAAATTTATGTATTTAAAAAGGGAAATAATAATAATAATAATAATAATAAGAAATATTATTATTTACGACAGACAATCTTATATTAAAAAGAAACTTTTTTTAAGATATGCACGTGTATTACTGTTATTGATACTATAATTATTACTGCATCATTATTAGTAGAAATCACTACTACCATAACTTTTTCTATTATTATTAATTGACAATCCTTTTATGATCAGCAGAATTTTTTGAAAATTTAATAATAAATTTGTGGATAAGCTAAATATAATTTTTAGAGCAAATTTTACATCTAGTGTGTACTAATATAAACTGTAAAAATATTTACAAAAATAATATAAATAATTCATAAAATTATTGTTTGTGAACCTAATACCTAATTAGTTTTATTGTAACACTAATTTTTTATAATTTATTGTATAATCTATTGCATTTTCTTTACATTGCAGTTTTGAATCTAAATTAAAAAAGATTACTATAATATCTGATAATGAACCACATTATCATAATATTGAACTGGTAGACATATTAACTAAATAAAAAGAATGGTATAATGTTAGTATAAATAAATGGATTTTTCTTGAAACTGAAGAAATAAAAACACTAATAGATTCTTATTATGCTGTGATAAATATAATACACCCTTCATTATTTTGTATATTTGTATATTTTCAGCTATTAAAATTTTTTAGCTAATACATGCAATAAATTGTCACATAAAATTTAGACTTATGATTGAATCAGATAAAGATATAGAATTTAGTATTGAAAATATATTAAAACCAGATCATAAAAAGGGTAAATTGATAATACAATATTCAAATAAAATTGCTAATTATTTTTTAGCAGATAATTTCTCAAATAATAACAAAAAATAGGTACTTTACCTAGAATCACTATAAGCGTGGCCTGATAAAGAAGGTGAATAGAGATTTATATATACACATCCTTTATTAGGTATTAGTACTTAGATAAATTCTCCAAAAAAAAATTGGAAATATTATAAAAATTATTCTATTCAAAAATCTGATCCAAAAATAAGTAAACATACTTATTCTGATAAACCCTAGATAATGCAATTTGTAGAACACAAAAGTATATACATTTGAATTTTGAGATAAATCTTCATATAAGCTAAATCTTTGATTATTAACTGATAATAGATAATCCTAAATCAATTACAGCTACAATAAATTTGTTTCTGGGTGGGCTCTAAAAGAATTCTAAAAGAAAAAGTTAAAAGAATGAATCTAAAAGTCAAAAGTTTATTAGAAATTATGTTTCATATAGGAATTTTAAATCCAAACTATAAAAAAACATAACTATAGATTAGATATTGATATAGAATGTATATATATATAACGAAACTAATTTTGTGAAATAGCAGAGATTATTCTATTAATATAAAATGGATGAAAATATTTACAAGTGCTAACTTAAGTGAAGAAATCATTTATATAATATCTGAGATTTGTTTTTTCTGCACATTAAAAATATTTAAAAAAAATTCTGTAGTAAAACAAAAACATAGTGGAATTTTTTATATAAAAGGTACTCAATTGGTCATTATGACTCTTCAAATTCATATGTGAACTGTCAATTAAATTATTAAATAATACGAGTTTACAATGTTTACTACCTTATATTTAATGATGAAGTTCTTTTAAAAAGAAAAAAGTTTAATTATTCTTATATCATTATTTTTATTTTAAACTTAATTATAAATAAATTGTTGCAAAATTATTTTTGATTTATCCTAGTCCTTTTAGGAGTAAAGTATGTTTTTTTGATAAATGCTATTTTAGAATGTTTTAGTTATATTAAAACATCAGAATTAGAATGAAAAATTTTATTATAAGGATGACTTAATTTCTTTTTAGCAGGTAATAATTTTGCTTTTTTCATAATATTTTCCTAAGTAAAGTTAGGAATACATGAGAAACTACTTACAAACAGAAAAATATCAATTCTTTGATCTCTTACTTTAAAGAAATATAAAACTTCCAGTATATTACAAAGACATTTGATATTGCTGAGTTATGCAGAAAGACTAAAAGAAGATCCTTCTAATCCAAAGTACAATTCATTATCTAGAAGTTCTACACCTATTATTTGACCATGCAATCCTGGTATAGAAAATATAATAATCCAAATATTAAATACAAAATCATTTATTAGTATTATAACAAATGCAGAGAATTTCACCAAAAACTTAACAGAAAATTGAATATCCAATATTTTTGAGTCTTAACATCATTTTCTGATAAATCTTTTCTTAAATATTCATCAAGAATATATTTTAAAGTTCGCAAACATTTTGACTTATCACGAATAGCTTTTCCTAAAGTAGGTGATTTGGCACATTCTGTATGACTAAGTTCTGTATCATCTCTTTTATATACAATTCTCAAATTAATTTTACGTTGGTTATCTTCAATTGTTGTGAATATAGTTTCACCCCTATATGATACATATATATTTAATCAGATATTATTGCACGTATAAATAAATATACAACAATAATGATTTTCTTACCAACAGAGCTTCAGATCATCTAAAATGTCATTAAACAAATTTTAATTATTGGTACTGTCATAATTATTGCATATTCCATTTTGAATAGACTTCTACTCTTTCTATTTTCATCAATAAAAATAAATGGATCTTCTAAAAATTTATTAATGCTAATAAAAATTTAATAGTATCAACATTAAGAAAAAACCTCAAATTTTTTTCTTAAAAAAATATATAACTTACACGTAAAAATAAATGGTTGCAATTTGTTTTGTTATTTTATTATTATTGGTTTTTTTGCATTTTATTTCATAAAGATAATCCCTTGCACTTTTATAGTTATACATCCTACACATCTGATTATAAACAGAATAAATAAATAAATAAGTAATAAAATAATATATATATTGAGATATATAAATTACTTTCCTGTTCAACATTGTCGATGATTTTTTTAACTTCTCCTTCAAAACTTTTTGGTTTCATATCAACAATTTCATATATTTTCTTCTTTATATCTTCCCAATCTTTTTTAAATCACGAAAAAATTCCATATCAATATTCAGCAGTGTTGGCATATGACATAGTCATATAAAAATTTTTATAACTTCATAGTCATATGTCATATGATTAAATGTCATAAGTCATAAAGTCATATAGATTAACTAATTCCAGCCAGAATTATAAATAAGAAATCGCCTTATTTGGTAAATGTGTAACGTTATACAAAAGTCAAGAAAGTTTGTGTAATATTTTTAAAATCCCAAATTTGTCATTTTAAGTATTTGTATAATCAAACTCCCTTTTATGGATATGATTTGATTAATAATTCCGGCCAAATATAATGCCAGCTTAAATTATGAAATATATGACAAAGTCATAAGTTATAAGATCTATTTAAATGATAAATGACTTATGACAAGTCATGTAAGTCATATAAGTCATATAATGTCATGTGCCAATACTGATATTCAGAACATAAATCAACAATTGACAAATATTCCAGTCTGTATTGATATTGATATTAACAATGCATTTTAATACCTTTTTTCATATTAGTCGTAATATTACTACTACAATAAAAATAACCTCACCTGATTACACTTGTAAGACATGCTTGATCACATGATTTATGATTCTGTTGATTTTCTTTCATTTCTTCATACAATGTCATTGTCTTGGTAGTTCCTGCATTTAATACTTCTATTATATGATGATCATTATTTAGCATCCAAATAGAGTTGTTTTTATTAATATTACAAATATATTCATTAAAACTCATTGTTTTTGGGTCTTTAGTAATTTCAATGTCGAAAGATAAATCATCATCATCACTATCAGAACTATTTTCATTAACATCTAAATCATCTTCACTATCTAATTCAATTGGTATAAAGGATCTTGTGCGCTTGATAGATTCCAAATTGCTGTACTTATCATCACTATCATTATTTATTTCATCAGTTTGCGATAAAATTGATTATGATAAAATAATCAAGTAGTATGATATATGATATTCAATATATAAATGTAATTTAATACTCACATGATTCCTTTTGACTTGTTTAAGTTGATTATTGTTATTATTATTTTAAAAATTGACTCTTTATGCATTTTTTCAGTAATTTTTATTTGAAAGTCCAAAATTTGGTCACTTGCACTTTGCAAAGTTACAACCTTGTGTTTATTCTGTAATATAAATAGATAATTAGTAAATATTATAACTTCATCAAGCATTAAAAAAGATAATTCACAGTATACTTGTCATAAGTTGTGTAATTTAAAGTTGATGATGTGCTTCTTCACTTTTCATCTTTTGAAACATTTTTCTTTTTAGAACAAGAATTTAAGCATGTTAACGAATCTTAAAACATAAAAATATGTTAATAGAAATAAAATCAAAGAATATATCTTGTTAATATTCCTATTGTCATGGATCCTTTAAAAATAAATTAATTATTAGTATGAAGATCTTAAATAATGCAGATTAGTAATTATGTAATGATATATCCAAGATTGGTTAGTTATTGCTATATAAGTTAAGCGCATTGCTATGATAGCAATCCTAGAGTTCCTTCAACACAAATTGTGAAAGCGTCTTCATAATTATACTCTATTGGTAACCGGTTAAAAGTAGTACAGTCAATGGAAAGTAGAAATGCAACACCTGTATAATGTTAGACGCATTGCTATAATAGCAACCCTAGAGTTCCTTCAACATCACTATGAAGGATGGAAGTATCTCCATAAATTATACCCAATCCTGTAACATTATTTAAGTTTAAAAAAAAACTACTTGCCTTTGCATAAATTCTATGAATAGAGTATTAAGAAATATTATAAGTATAAATACAAAGACATCTCAAAGAAAAAGATTAAAGGATAGATAAATAAAATATATACATATTTTGAAATGTGACCAGAATTTTGCTAAATTGGAATGTAATAAAATATATGAATTGTATGATGATCAATTAATATAGATCACGTTTTTAATATGCAAAAAAATTATTTACATAATAATTTTCAAATAAAATTGCATAATTATATATAAGAAAAAGAAAAAATATAGGATGTATTCACAAATTAATTAAGTTATCATCCCTTAACTCTAGAGTTATAATCGAGTTAAAATTTGCTAACAAATTTCAACCCAGAGTTGCATTTAATATCCCAAAATATTATTAATACATTGACTAAGTTTTTTATTATACAATGATTTATTATATACTCATAAAATCATTATTTTATCTCAATTATCAGTTAGAAGATATGTCATACAAAACAATGAGAATGAAAAAATTAATGATCAACATTAAAATTTTATATACAAAATTTTAGATTGAATTATATAAACTCATATTATATATCCTTTCTGTGTAGTAATAGTCACTAAATTAACGCATTGTTTCTTTGTGATGTATTTTTTTTTCTGTAAAATTTTTAAACATGATCATAAATAAAATAATAAAAGAATTTGGCATTAAATTTTACGTTTATTTTATAAAGTATTATGTATAGATGCCATTCAAATTAAAAATCGCGATTTTCAAATCTCAAATTATTTTGCGCATCCCAAATGTATAAATCCCAAATACTTTGTACATTCAAAAACAATTTGTATATCTTAAATTACTTTTTATATAATTCATAATTCATAAATAATAATTTGCTTGAAATAAAAATTATAGTTTTATTTATTTTAGTATTAACACCACCTTCTTTGGATTATGAAAGATAAGAATATCTTTACCAGAATATTCATCTATTTGTGAAAGATGAATACAAAGATATTACTTGTCCAAGACCATTCTATATTGGTAACAAATAAAATATTCAGAATAAAATTACCTCTATCACTAATTAATTTGTCTTTACTGTCATTAAGTTTAATAAATTTAATTTTTTGACAAATATTGTTAGCTTTTTTCACCTTTAAAGTAAAAAAGTACTAAAATAATTAAATACTTAATATGCCCTCATAAAAAGGATATAAGTAGTATTCTGCATAAATTCAGATCGATTCGAATCCAATCCGAATCTGACAGATTGGATTCAGATCAGATCTATCAGATTCAAATCTAATTCGGATTCAGATTCGGATTGGATCAGATCTATCAGATTCAGATTCGAATTCAGATCTAATCTGTCAGATTCGGATTTAGATTCAAACTGATCTGTCAGATCCGGATTTGAGATTCGATCCATCAGATTCAGATTGGATCTGGATTTCAACAGATCTATCAGATTCAGATCAGATTCGGATCCTGAAAATGAAAATCAGATTGAATCAGATTTGGATAAAATCTGATCTGATCTGATTTTGCGGAACACTAGATATAAGTATATTAAAAAATAAATAAAAAAAGATAATTAAAAGAAAGTCATGACAAACATTATAAGTGAATTCTAAGAAAATAATAAAAAACTGATAGAAGAAAATGAAAATTTAAAGAAGCAATTAGCAGATAAAGAAGAAAATCTTAAACTAAAAATCTGACATGTCACTGGTCAGTCTATTGATGAAAATGGTGAAGTTAGTATGTATACTCCTAGGGGAATATGATGATACAAAAATTAAATAAGAAATGATTAGATAAAAGTAAGTTAAGAATGGTAGTAGACCCTAATGAAACTAGAGAATGAGTTAAAAACTGCAAAAGAATTTGATTTGATAATATCACTATTGAAGAAATATTAGAAGAATTTGTTAAAAGTTCAAATGAATTAGGTGATAGTTATGCTAAAAACTATTTTAGAATAAGCAATTTAAATAATCAATTGAATTAACAAAAAAGAGATTATGAAAAGAAGATAGCAGAGTTAGAAGCAAAAAAGGAGGAATTGGAAGCAAGAGTAGAAGAGTTAGATGACGAAGTATAAATAGAATGAGAAGAGGCTAAAAAAGTATTAAATAAAGCCATGGAATAGAGAAAATGACAAATGTTTAAAATTGTATTAAAAGATGATACTGCAATGAGTAAACTTTAAGACCGAATAGATTTATTAGAAATAATTTAGCTGCTAAAAATCAGAAAATAAACTGAAAAAATTATTTAGCAACCAAAGAATTACCAGCTCTACCAAAACAACAAAAAGAAAATAGATTGCAAAAGTTCAAGCAATTAATAAGTAAAGTAAAAGAAAAGACTAAGAAGAAGTTCCAGATTTTTATTATTCAAAAGAACAAAAAAGCTAATATGAGATTAAAATATAGAATTCTGAAAATAGTCCAGAGAGATGAATAAGAGTGTAATTTCTATTTTCTAGATTTTGATGACCCAACTCTTCTTAATTTTGATACTGCTCCTGCTACTTATCAAATAGTGGCTTATAATACTTCTGATAATTATTCTGATATAATTTTTATTTGCAGTGAATGTAAAAAAAATTACAATAATAATACTTTTTCATGATGTGAGAAATGTGATAGGTTAAAAAGAAATAAAAACAGATGTTTTTGTAATTATTTAAAAGCTAGATCAACTAAACCACTTTTTGATAAAAAGTTACTTTTACTAGCTTTCAGTTTTCGCTTAGAAAATAAACTAGAAAACTAGAAAAGAATTATCAATTATCAAAGAAGAATTAAAAATTGAAAGAAAAAAAGTAACCAAGTTTCAGAAAAAATCAGAAGAGTGAAGTAAAAAGCAAAAACAGGAGTTATTAGATAAAATAAAAAGTTTAGAAGAAAAAATTAATCATCTAGAAGAAGAAAACAAGAAATTAAAAGATCAACAAAATGGTCAATTAACTGCTCAAATTGAAATCAAAAAGACTAAAAGATGATCTTGATTGAAAATAAAAAAGTAGTTTAAAGAATATTTTGAAATTCACTTTAATTATCAAATTATTTTTCTTTTAAATATTTTTACTTTTTATTAGGTAAAAGTACACTTTCATTTTGCTTTCTTTTTCTTATTATTTTTCTTTCTTCTTAGTAAATTTCGTAGGTAATCCTTTCTTTTCTTAGATAATCTTCAAGTGTCTGAGTATCATTTATCTTGAAAATGTAAGGAACAATTTTTTCACCTTGTTTTTTTTTCAAAATACTTCTAATGGTGTTGTAATTTTTGGATTCCATAGTAGATCTGATGTAAATGAGTTTTATATTAACTATTTTTATCTAGAGATAATTCTATATATCACCTAATATTAAGAGAAACAAATATAATCATATTACTAAATTTTGATCCCTAAAATTTTTAGTAACACTAATGTTCACTTTATCTGGTTTTGTTGCAGCATGCTTCATAAGATTGTAGAAATTTAATTAAAATAGTTAAATCAACTTTATATTTAATAATAAATCATTATTAGAATATGCTTTAAGAAGAAATGATTGCTGCTCTAGATATAAATCTCTTAATTTTGCTTCTAATTTATAAATAATTAAAATAAAAACTTTTTTAAAGAAATTTATGAAGAAAAAAAAATTTATGAAGAAAATTAAAATATTGCTACCAGTTAATAACAATATATTTACCAATTGTTATTGATATGAAGGGTATAATGAATTTAAAGAATATATGATTATTAATGATATTAGTTTTGATGCATGTTCTTTTAAGTGGAAGGCTTTTTAAAAAGCATATTTTCTGATCTTATCATGGTTGGCAAAAAAATATTTAGCATTTCTAACAATATCTGCATCTAGTGAAGATTATTTTCTGATGTAAAAATATTATAATAATTAAACATATAAATTTATTACCATTCATTTTAAGTATTTAATTTTTTGTAAATAAAATTAGTGTCTGATTAATAAAAATTTTTCAAAGTTTGAATAATTAGTAGATCATATTACTCATATATTATTATATATAATGAATATAATTGAAAAAATATAAATGTAAGACAAATATTAAATACAAATCTTTAATAAAAATTGTATATTCATAAAAAACATATTTTATTATAATATGATATAATATAATATAAATTATTCTAAGTTATTAATAATTATTTTTAAATATCTCTAAACTATCTAGAAAATTTCTATTATTATAACCTTCTTTTTAAGCTTGTTATGCTGAGTATTGGTTTAAAACTAATGATATCCCCTACCACTATATGTAAAGTTCAAAAAAATAAACTTTTAGTCAATTAATAATCATGTTTTTATCTTTAAAGTTTTTAAAAGTTAAGCTATATAATCCTTTTAATTTCTTTTATAAACCTAAAATTTATAGCAAAAATAATTAGTGTTTTATATATTTCATTAAATATAAAAATATATATTATTTAATATAATAGGCTAAATATATAAATTGTTAGATGGTTACCTTTGCCAGAAAGGTAATAAAACTTAATAAAAATACAAAGATATTTATACATATTGAATAACTAAATAAACTAAACTAAAAATATTCAAAGAAAATAAAATTGACAGATCTGCAGGTAACTAAATAGATATCCATAATCTACATGATTATCAAATTGATATCTAAAGATTTACATAATTGATTGATGGCAATTTTATGGACAAAATGATCTTCATAAAAGATCTACATAGTAATAAAATTGACTTCATATTGTACCAATTAAATCTATTTAAATTTTTATCTGTCACAGCGTCATAAGTATTTAATTCAGTCACAATAGCATCAAAGAGAATAATTTGTCTCATTATTCGTAAAGATAAATTAAGTATTATACCAATTGGCTTTAACACTCACCATTAACATTTACCATGACTGTTTCAGATGCTTTGTTTACTTCTCTTTCTAATCACCTTAAAAATTATAATAATACTTGCTTTTCTTATATAAATAATGATCATTAATAATGACCAGTTAAAAAACAGTTTTTCAAACCTTCTCATCAGTTTGAAACTTCATCTTCAAAAGATATTCTAGCAAAAGATGCATTTGTTAATATGAAACTTGATTCAACTATGCTTCTACCTAACGATAAAAGTATTAAAGCAAACTCCTTATTATTAATTATTACTTGATAATACAAAGCAGTTAACTTTTGATTTATAATATTATGCATTTCCTAAGGTACATATTATTTCTCATTTTTTTCAGCTACTTCTTCAGCTTTCACATTTATAGGTTTAGCTCCAGAAGGTTTTGCAGTTATGTTTCCTTCTGGTTATTATTTTCCTTTATTAGGTTTATAAGTAATTGGCTTTCTTAACAATCTCATTATACTTTGAGTGAACTTAAAATTAGCTACAAGTAATTGTCTGATAGAAATGTTAGCAGGTTAGTTAAAAAGATCTTATTTAGTATAAGGATTTATCATATTAACAATAGTGGTTGTGTTAGAGGTTTTTTTCACTTTTAGTTTTTGTTGAACTCTTTTCTTTGCTAAGTCTTTTTGCTTTTATTCTATTTCTTTAATTAATTCTTCTTTATTATTATCAGCACGATTTCTTTTATTAGTATAAATTTCAAAAATAGAAAGATATGAGAAACTTTTAAATAATTTTATACCTTCACCCTTGAGAGATACACCATTTAGTTTAAATGCTGATTTTGGTCATTGCTATTTTCTTATTCTAACAGCTGAGTTAATAATTGCATAGTTTGCTATACATTTATAGCATTATTATTTTGGTTGATATTGTTATTTATAGAAATATTATTAGCTACATTTACTACAACTGTATTTACTGGATTCAAATTATTTTGCAAGGGTGGAATGTTGACAGCTATATTGTTATTCAGATTATTTAAATTATTTATTACTTTTGTTGGATAGCTTCATCTATATATCTAGGCTATCCTAATCAAAGCATACAATAGGTTCTAATTGATTATTTTATAAAGGTCAATTTTGCTGATTATTATTTTGCTGATTGTTTTGCTGTTGATAATTATTTTGTCGATAACCTGAATTATATTTCCTTTCTCTAACATTCATTTGTTATATTTGCTGAGACAGATTGGTAATGGCAGTATTCAAAGCATTAAGTTGTTCTGTGTTTCCTGATGGATTAATATATTTGTTCATGTATATCTCTACTGCACTAGTATCCTTATATGTAAGTTGGCTCAATTGAATGCATCATTCCAAGTTTGATCATTAAAAGGTTTTACTAATAAGTGTAATTCAGATACTAATTCACAGACAAGTTGTTTAGCTTTTATTGCATCAGGATATTGGAAAGCTTGTGTTTTTACCCTTTCGATATAATTCTAATAAAGTACAAGCATAATTATTAACAGATTTATCAGGTTGCTATTGATATTTTTTTAATTCAGTTGTTTAGATTTTCATTAGTATTTGAGACCTAAAAGTAGCAGGAAAGTTTTAGATAAAGTTAGTATTATTATTATTTTCTGTTCATATAATAATATGATTGTTGTTTTCATTGTTCAAAGTTTGATTAGCAGTCCACTAAGTGGATGCTGAGTTTTTTAGGTAAGCTAGAATAACTTCAATTTTTTTGTTGTTATTGATACCATTTGCATTGCAGGCAGGTGTAAACTTTTTAAACCATCTGATAAGATCTTGATTGTCTTCATAAAAGTAAAGCAAGTTAATGACATGTGTCTTTCTTTATTAGGGATTACTATTTATTATGTTAGCATTGGTTTGCAAGTTATTGATTAGTTAAAAAACTCTGTTATTTGTTACTAGTTGTCTTTTGTAAAGTGAACAATCCTGTCAATCCTTGAACTGCTATGGTAAGATTTTAAATGTCTTGTTGATTAGCTATATTTACTTAAACTTGAAATAATAAGTTAAGTTAAAATCTTCTTCATTCAAAAGGTCAGGTATATTAAAATGAGTTGAAACAGATGATATATTATATAAAGAAATTATAGTTTGAGTATTTGTGAATTGAGCTGTTTCACTTATTTGGTATAGTACTTTAAAAAGGTCATGTTAAAAACTGTTGATTAAGATTAATACATTGTATATATATCAAATATTAATATAAGAACCTGGATTTTGTATATATCTAATGTTAAGAATTAAAATTTCAATTCGTCTTAAAATAGAATCAATTTGTGTGTTATTTATCAACTGTTTTAACTGCTTTTTAGTATTTGAAGTGAAGATCAATACAAAGAATTCAGTAGAGAACCAATATCAAAAGTTAATAAATTAAGGAGTACTTGCAACAAAGTATTCAGGATAGCAGATAGGACAAGAAGAATCAAAAGAGTATTATACGAAATTAATTATCCTTAAGGTATATAATCGATTGTAAAATTGTTGTCTTTGTATTAATAGATCAAAATTAACTATGTAGGAGTTTAAATGATTCTAGCAAAAGGCACTAAGTGTTATACCAATTCTTAAGATCGCAGATAAATCACCTATGATATCATAGTTTAGTAGAAGGTTTCCTTCACACAAAAGATTAAAAATAGAGATACAAGATAAAAAAAATAAGAATAAATGAGACAAATAGGGTATAATGTATGCAATTAATTATTTAATAAATAATAGACTAGTACTGCTTTTGTCAGCATGTCTATACTAAACAATTTATTTATCAAAAGATTTATTACAAAACAAGATTCAATATCACTTTTACATTAACGAACTATTCCTATTTATATAAAAATACTCATTAATAATGATAAAATAAATAAAATAAAGAAAATAAATAAATAATATAAATGAATAAAATAAAATAAATGAAATAAATAAAGAAAATAAAGAAAATAAAATAAATGTTATTATGATGAATAACGTAATAAGGTCTATTTGCATAATAAAATTAGATTACTAAATTTAGGAAATAAGATATGTAGATTATTTAATTATCTAATTTAGTTAAAATACTACAAATCATTTTAATATAGCATGAATTTGATCATCCTTTTTCAACCTTGTAGATCATTTTTGCACATGAAATTAATCTTTTTCCTCTTTCTCTAAAACTACAAAAAAATAAAAAAAGAAAAAAACTAAAATTTTTCACAAAATAATAGCTGCAACTTGTATAGCCATTCTGGCTCACCAACAAACAAAAAAGAAGAGCCATTACAGAAAAATCTATAACTTTCAAGTCTAACCTAATAAGCGAAATTATAGATAGATCTTAAAAATTGTAACTACCACTAATATTCTCTCAGCAGGTGATATGAATGTCAACTAATAAATAATGTTAGTTATCGCTAAAGTTAAAAAATTTAAATATGATACTTTTATTATATCTTCAAATAATAATGATAACAAAAAAATACCAACTTCTACTCTTATCACTAATATCTTATCAATTGGAATACCAAAAGAAGTGAAACATTAACCTCCAGCGACAATAACACCATAGATGAAGACCAGACCTTTGATATATCTGAGAATATGCTAAATGATAAATCTAACAATAAGAATATTATCACCTTTGAAAGAGTTAGAGATGTTACCACCTTCTACATCTACTGCGTTGCAGAAACCTACTTTTTTAATAAATCTTTTTATGAAAAAACTAACAAAGCCTGCGAATTATTTAATGGCATCAATTATCCATTATTTATTAGTGTATCAATAAAGCAAAACCTTACAACTAAAATGTTGAAAATTATCTGATTAGGATTTATAATACGCGAGGATGCCAATCGTGCAATTACTGCTAAAATTCTTAATATGAAAACAGTTACATTCAAACTCCTTGTTGCACCTACCCTGTTCAAGTTTAATCTGAGTTTATCGATCAAGGTCACTAAAATTTCTATCTCTACGTTAGAACAGATTATCTAATCAAACATTTGCCTGATTTGATATGATTGTTAAATGCTTTATGATGATGAAAAACCTCTGGCAACAAGTGACCATCTCGTATACACTTAAGATGAATTTATCATTCTTCAACTCTAACGCTAACCTATTTGTCTTAAAAGATATAATCAGAGTTTACATCTATTTATTAACTGCTAATGAAATCAAATCCAAATTTCAATTTACTCTAAAGCTTACATATCTCCTGAAAGATACTATGGTTAGAGAACTAGAACTAATTGGCAAGACTATTAATGCAGCAACCTGAGTGATCCCTAAAGTAGGTTGTATTACAGGAATCTATGCATTTATGCATTTTCGTAACAAAGAAAATCTTAAAGCTGCAAAAAATGACGATCCAATCGAATTTGATAATAGATGACTTATCTGGACTACGTCAGATACTAATTTATGCGCACACTGTTCTATTCCTAATTATGACTTGTGTAACTATAGAATAATAAGATTCAGCCCTAAAGACAAACAAACACAAAATTTATATCTTTTTAATGTGCTCTTAAATATCAAAAAAGAAAAGCTTGACCATTTTAATCCGATAGCTCACGTTTGTAATTTGATCCTAGCAGATCTGAATTTGAGGGCAATTTATTAAGGTGCTTTAGCTGATCATAATAGGTAACAAGTTTTTCTTTGGCTTGAACGAAACTTTTGATCAGCATGAACCCACTGGTTAAAAATGGTTTTAATCGAGACAGTTATAATTCCATTTTCTGATCCTTTTCCATTATAAGTTCATGTTTGAGATTGAAAAGTAAGACCGTCCATGAACATGCATTAAACACAAAATTTATCAAGTAAATTTAATTATCGGTTACTTTTTTCAGTCTAAATCTTTGTACTGTCATTCAACAATTTGTTTGTAAAAATACTTCGCTTTTTCTTTTTCCCCCCTCCCACTAAACCTAGCAACGGCAACGTCAGCTAGTTCGCCTAGTAAGTCATTTGAGGAAAGTGTGTAAGGTTCTTGGAGCATTAACGTTATCATCAAGTAACCGGTTTATTTGATGCAATGTTAACTTTACTTGGTTTATCTACTAGCGTCGGAAATTTTTTTTTACGAGTCTTTGTGGATTATGACTTTTAGAGGAACAATTTATTTTTTCGAAATTATGGTCACATCAAAACAATGATTTACTTAAAGTAACATAAAACATAAATGAAAATATATTTACTGCGGTAACCAAATCGTTTAGGGTGATAAATGATTTATGTCACTATCACTTAAAACGCCCAAATGCACCTAACCGCCAAACCTTCTTTTATTATTAAAGTTTAATTAATCTGATCCCATAGTGCACAGACCTTCTTTCCGTTTTCGGTTACGTAATAATTTAAATTTATGTTTGTATACTTTATATATGCTTTTATATCGTAATCATTATTACATTATGACGAAAACTAAACGTAGAGGATCATCATAATTTTTTAATATAATCCTCACCCCAATTTTCTTATTTGCAAAAGATGGATAAACGAAACATGGATTCTGATTCTGAAAAGTATACAGAATTTTCAAAAACTCAAGAAAAAGAATCAAACGATGAATCCATTGAGGAAGAAACTCCTTTGTCACAAAGGAATAGTGAAGAACATAATGTAATTAAGAATCAAAGATCAACAAATCATTCATTTTATTTATTTTTTATATTATATAACAAATAATTTGTAATTAGAGCGACCATGAACATATACGAATAACGGATGATATACCACCAGAAATCCAAGAACTCTTGAATACAGATCCGAAAACTGGTTTATCAACGGAAGTGGCGCAGTCTCGTTTAGAAAAATTTGGCAAGAACGAAATTGGAGAATCTAAAACGTAAGCACATTGATTACACCTTTAAACGTTTAAAATTTGATCTTGTGATCACGAATTTTGATGTCAATCTAATCTCTCTTCAACCATATGAAAGAAATCCCTTTTTAAAATTTTTGTCGTACTTTAAAGGATCTATAGCGTATCTAATCGAATTAGCGTGTATTGTGGCAGCGATAGTACAAGATTGGGTTGATTTTGGTATAATACTCGCGTTATTATTTGTCAATGCAAGCATTGGATTTATTGAGGAATCACGTGCTGAATCCGCTTTAGACGCGTTAAAACAAACATTAGCGTTAAAAACGAGAGTACGACGTGATGGAAAATTTGTCGAATTAAACTCGACAGATTTAGTACCAGGCGATATCATTGCGTTACGTTTAGGTGATATTGTGCCTGCTGATGCTAAATTATTGGGTATCGGTGTTAATGGTTCAAGAACTGAAGAAAAGTTGCTAGTGGACCAATCTGCTTTAACAGGTGAAAGTTTACCTTTACGCTGTCAAAAAGGTGATAGTGTTTATTCGAGGTATTTTAATTAAAGAAGATTTGAAAATTTTCGAGTTGGCATTTTTCGTATGTCTAATCACATAATAATTAGTTCAACGGTTAAGCAAGGTCAAATGTTGGCGATGGTTTTTAAAAGTATATATATATATAAGTTTTTTGAAATACAATATTACCGTCTTTTAAATATACTTCAGTTAGCATTTAACTTTGATCTTTTTATCATATAGCCGGAGCTGATACCTACATTGGTCGTACTGCTTCATTGATAAACATGACAGTTGATCAAGGTCACTTTCAAAAAGTCATAAATAAGATTGGTAATTTCTTGATATGGATCACCGCTATTCTTGTTACCATAATATTCGTTTATCAAGTGGTAAAATTTCGAAATACTCCAGAAGGAGATGTGTTGAAAATATTGCAACACATTTTAGTATTAACAGTCGCCGCAATACCAGCAAGTATTTTCCTGATGATGTCATTCAATCATTTTCTCATAATAAAGATTTTTTTTTTTTTATATTGATTTTTCCTTCGTTTGTTGAAGGTTGGATTACCGACTGTTCTTTCTGTTACAATGGCTGTCGGTGCAAAACAATTAGCAGTTAAAAAAGTGATTGTAAAACGATTAACTTCTATTGAAGAATTAGCTTCCGTATCTGTACTTTGTTCCGACAAAACCGGAACAATGACATTAAATGAACTCAAATTCGATGAACCTTGGTTAGCTTCGGGGTTTACAAAGTCTGACATACTTTTGTATTCCTACCTTTGCTCTGAACCGGGCGCAAATGATGCGATTGAATTGGCTGTTATATCCGCGGCAAAACAAGGACTTGATATTTTAAAGGATCATGATGATCAAGATGATGATGTTCCTGGCTATAAAATTACATCTTTTATACCCTTCAATCCTTCAAAAAAATCATCACAAGCTACCGTGGTAAATTTGGAAACTAATGAAACCTTTCAAATTGCCAAAGGTGCACCTCAAGTCATTATTAAACTTGCAGGTGGAAATGAAGAAACATCGCAAGCCGTTAACGATTTGGCCAAAAGAGGTTTACGAGCATTGGGCATTGCTAAAACCGATCCTATAGATAATAATCGTTGGAAATTGATCGGATTCATTAGTTTATTGGATCCTCCAAGACCGGATACCAAGGAAACTATTGAAAAATGTAGAAATCTTGGGGTCAAAATTAAAATGATTACGGGTGATCAAATGATCATTGCTAAAGAAGTCGCCCATAGACTTGGTATGGGAAGAGTCATTTTAGATGCAAATCATCTAGTTGATTCAACAAAATCATTACAGGAGATCACGGAACATTGCGAACGTGCTGATGGTTTCGCTCAAGTCACACCCGAACATAAATTTAAGGTCGTGGAATTCTTACAAAAGAAAGGTTATTTAGTCGCAATGACTGTACGTTTTCAAAATAATTGCGCATTTACCACGTTTCAGAGCGAGATTTTTTTTCAAATCATAAAATAATCTGTATATTATTATTATATATATATTTTTTTTTGTTCATAAGGGCGATGGGGTTAATGACGCTCCTGCATTAAAGAAAGCCAACGTTGGGATTGCTGTTCAGGGATGTACCGACGCCGCACGTTCAGCTGCTGATATCGTCTTGTTGGCACCAGGATTATCAACCATCGTTGACGGCATTTATACTTCGCGTGCAATATTTCAGCGAATGAGATCCTATGCTTTATATAGGATCACATCTACTATTCATTTTCTACTATTTTTCTTCATCATCATCCTAGCTTTCGATTGGACATTACCAGCTGTATTATTGATCTTGATAGCAATATTGAATGATGCAGCTACTATCGTTATATCAGTTGATAATGCTCAAGTAAGTTTATTGTTCTGATTCAATTTATTGATTTCTTTGTTTAAATTTTTTTTCTTTTAATTTAGATTTCTTTACTTCCTGATAAATGGCGTCTCGGTCAACTAATTTTTTTAAGTTTAGTCTTGGGAATTTTCTTGACTGGTTTTAGCTTTGCACATTTCTTCATTTTTAGAGATGTTATCGGAGTTACTCCAGGTATACAAAACTTCAACCTTTTTAAAATGGTCACATGTCACTAAATGAAATTATTTTTAGAACAATTACATACTGTAATGTATTTACATATTTCAAGTGCACCACATTTTTTAATATTTGCAACAAGAATACCGGGACATTTCTGGGAAAATATTCCTTCACCATTGTTTGTTACATCAATCATTGGTACACAAATTTTTGCATTATTGATTTCGGTATTTGGATGGTTATCTTCATCCATTAGTTTGTTATTGGCTGTAATAATTCTTTTGGTAAGTTTAATAATAATGTCAAGCTTTTTTTTTTTTTTTTACTTTGATTATCGGATACTTAGTTTGATTTCTATCAATTCGAAGGTATCTTTGGGAATATTTATCTTTCTCGATTTTATTAAAGTGCTGATATTTAAAAATTGGTCGTTTGAATTAACGGCAAGGTTATGGCCTACTTCAAAACGAAGAACTAAATTAGCTGTAAGAAAAGAACAACATGCAAAGAATAAAAGAGTTAATGAAAACTTTTCTAGATTAAGAAAAGTGTTGATTGTGATGAGAGTTATTAAAAATTTTCGGGAAGCAGCAGATGAAAAGAAAACGGAGTCCAGGGATGATCAAGAAAATAATGATGGTGATATTAATAGTGTTTAGTAATTTCTTTAAAAGTTAAAAGGGCTCTTTTCTGATATTTAAATAAATTTAGTGAAATGATTCATACATCCTTGATAAAACTTTTAATTATTTAAATTTAATAATATTCAAGCAATAAAAAATTGCATAAAACCTCTACCATATGATATCGTGCATATTAAGTAAAAAAAATCACCGGAACGTTGATAAAATTCAACGGATGCATGACGTTGTTTGAAAAGTTCAAAAACATTATCGTTCTTAAATTAGGTAAATTTTCCGACTGGTCACGTGATAGACTAGTTTTATGATTGTGTGGATTTAACTCAATGGTTTTAGGTATGATTAAGTTTTATCATGAACAATCGGATTTTTTTCAAAAGCCATTAACTGGATTAAAGTATAATATAAAATCGTAGAAAGGCCACACAAGGGTCAATCGAAGCTAAGCACAATATTGGTAAAGCCTGGTTTTCCCTAACCAAGTGAGTGCATATTGTAATGTGGATAACCTGTAATGAAATTCTTGTGCACTTGTATCAGATAATTATATTTATATAAAATGATCTGGATATCACATTCTTCACATTCTTATGATATCATAATCATGAAGGGAGGGAAAAGGGATTTGATTCTTTATTTCTTTGTTTCTTGTTGCGGGAAATAAATCCGACAAGCATAAAATTGCACATTATCATAAGCTTTTCGCACAAGGCGCATTAAATATCACCTCTAAATTAAAAAAAAAATAATTTGTAAATGCACCTCCGCCACAATGAAAAAAAAAAAAACTGTGTTCAAATTTAGACTGCGGACCCTAACGGTACTTTTACCATATAAAGTTACAACAAGAAAATCACTCGTGACATCGACTGTAATAGAGCAACGTCACTATTAACTCCCATTAGTAGCCGCCAAAAAAAAAAAAAAAATCATATTCGAATTTTTTTTTTTTTTAAAAAAAAGAACGTTACCCCACCCACTCTTTATACTTCAGAATTAACGATAAACATTCAACAATGGCCCCTAAATCAGGAGAATTTTCGCTGGCCGACGACAAAGATTCATTAAATAATGATAACTCAGCAAACGAGTCAGAAGAAATGTGGTCTTCCATTCTTCAAGGAGTTGCGTCCTCAAAAATCGTTCCTACAAAGAGTTTGTTGATTCTAGGTTCGTTGGTATATTCAAAGGTTCCAGAGGAAAGGGTTAAAATATGCTAGCTGGTGGTTCTCTTATTGTTGTCAATTGTCGTTAACAAATTTGTCACGTGCTTTATCTCATACTTCAAGGCGACAGAGATTCCGGCAAATCCACCCTCATCAGACACCTTAAAGGTGAAGAAGACGAAGAGGTTTATGAAGGGCTTAATGCTAACGGTACTATGTCAAAAAGCATTGGTACTGGAACTGATGACCCTCCTACCAATGACAAACGTTCGAATAGTGACTTGGCTTTAAGTTACACTTTTATTGAAGTTAAGGATGACGATGCAGAAGGTTAATATATATATATATTTTTATTATTATTTTTTGTGTTTTTGATAATATTGTAACTATTCCGATTTCGATGATTACAATATATTTCATATTAATGCTCTGTTTCGCTTTTATTCAATTTTACAGATACGCTTGCTCGTCTTGGATTATATCAACTTGCTGGCTCCTATGAATCCTATCAACCACTCCTTCGTTTTGCTCTTAACTCTTCTACTCTTCCACATTCCCTTGTTGTAGTCGTCCTAGATTGGGCACGCCCCTGGACTTTTATCGAAACATTACAAAAATGGATTAAATTTGTAGAATTAGGTATCGAAAGTGTAAAAAAGGAAGGAAATGTTGGATCTAAAGATGGTTGGACCAAAGGAAAAGCAGTGGTTGATGAATTGAAAGATTTACGTAAGTAGCAAGAAAACATCCAAACAATTTTTATGTTTGATTTTATTTATTAATTCGATTGATTGATTTTTATTTTATGTTAGTCGAAAAATTTATTCAAAAGTATTCGGAGCCAGACGCCGCTAATCCAAATGCAACAGTTAATAGTGAAGAAGATGATGTTGCATTGCCATTGGGACCAGGAGTTTTGACTACAAATCTAGCAGTGCCATTAGTGGTGGTTTGTACCAAGGTATTGAGTCGACTTTATTATAATTTATTTGTTATTTATAGTCAAAAAATCAAAAAATCAATTACATTTATCATTTGTTGTAGTCCGATAATGTTAGTACTCTTGAGCGTGAGTTAGATTATAAAGAAGAGCAATTCGATTACATACAGCAAACTTTACGAACAATTTGCCTCAAATGTAAGTGGGTTATTCTTTTGTCGGCTGGTTAACATTTCATTCATATATTAATTAAAGTTTGACATTTTTCAGATGGTGCAGGGCTTTTTTATACAACTACACGTCAACCTCAAACATTTGTCAACCTTAGAAAATATATCCTTCATCGACTCCTTGGTTCTAAAGCTTCATCCAGTGACACTAAATCTGCATACGCTTTTAATATTAAGGCACACGTTGTTGAGCGCGATACAGTGTTGGTTCCCACTGGTTGGGATTCTTGGGGTAAAATTAAAGTTTTAAGAGACGGATTTGATTGTGAGGGATTGCTTCAAGGCTGGGAATTGGATATGGGGGGTGATAAACCTGCTGAAGGAGAAGAAAAGGAAATAATCAGTGCTAAAAAGTTGTACGAGGACGTAGCTGTCCATGAGGATTCCGATAAAGTATGTTGTTTATTTCGTTTATGGATATTTTTCCTTAAAGTTGTTAACTTTTTATTTTTATTCTTATATAGCCACTATCAATCCCACGCATGATTATCGCTGAGGATGAACAAGATTTCTTCAGCCGTCATTTTGATACTTTACAAAAGGCTAATAACGAACGTCAATCCCCACCCTCAGTTGTCGGACCAATGGGAGCTCCCAATTATTCGTATGGCGACATTGGTGCCGATATTCCCGATATTGAACATTCTTCACTTAACAACACCGCTTCTTCAAGACCTAAAGTAAATATTTTTTTTATATTATCAATTAAAAATAAATAACTAAATAAATACTAACTTAATTAACTTTAATAATTTAAATCAGACAAATAATACAGCCAAAGTACCTTCACCACCTTCAGGCATCAATATCACAAATGGAAATACGGGTGCTCCTCCTGTAAATGGACCTGCACCTAATCAAAATGAGGTTCTTGCCAACTTCTTCCAAAATCTGCTTTCGAAGAAGGCTAATATAGCACCGGCTACCTCAGGGAATTCTCAAACATCACCGAACGAACCAACTGCTAGTCCTGTTCCCAAACAACAAAATGGATCGAGTAACGTTAGTCGAACGATGGTTCAAAAAGAGTTAGATAAATTGAGAAATTTGCCTAACAATACAACTGCAAGTATGGCTGGAAAATAAATAATTAAGGATTAATGTTGACAAATGGTAAGAGTGCAAAGAAGCATTCTCCTTAATTTAATACATTTCATTCTACCAAACACTGAAGATGTGTGGGACAATTTATTTTTATTTGATTCTTATATTTTGGCTAAAAATTACAAAATTTTTATACAAAATACCTTTTACATAGTAATCCCTTTATTAACATCATTTTAATACTTTGTTTATATAAATTCCTTTATCCGTTTACCGCGTATCGATATATTATACATAGTTCAAACTTTACTTTTAACTATTGCAAAAAAAAAAAAAAATAAATAAATTTTACACTTTTTTTTTATCGATTTGTAGTATTTTGTATAATTCTACTCACTCATCCTTTTTTTTCTTTTTATTATTCTTCAGATTTTTTTTTATATTTCTTGTTGTGTATGAAATTTATGTATTAAATACAATAATAATCAGTTTATTTCTTTTATTATTTTCTTTTTTATACTTTGTATATCCTTAAGAGACAAAAAAAAAAAAAAAAAAAAAAAAAAATTTTATTTATTATTATTATTTTTGATTTTTTTTTAAATTTAGGTGGTCATTAGAAATTTAAATGTATTATATATATGGTGAGGTATAATTAATTTTAGGGAGATTATGAAATTATTAAAAAAAAATTTATGCCAAAAAAATTTAAAAAATTAACAAATTAACCATTATTTGAAATGATAAACTCCATGAACTTATAAATTAAAAATTAATTGGGCTAATTTCAGATTTTAGTCGACCGCTATTGAAAAAATTAGTAATTCGTTTTTCATTTTCACTTGCTACTTATTTCGATATTTTCAATGAATCTATACAACTTTGAACAATGAAGTCGGTCTTATTTTTTTTTTACATTTATCGCAATTTTCTTAATTATTTAATTTTCATGTTTACTTTGGTAGTGTAACTAAAGAGATTCAGCGAATAAACTCTCGAGAAATAGAAAGAAACATTTCTGTTTCCGGTTCTTGGCACGCTCAATATAGAGATTCTCCTTATATCTTTGTGGGAAATATACCTTTTGATTTGACAGAAGGCGACATTATTACCATTTTTTCTCAGTAAGTCAATTCTATTATTCTAAACATTTTATTTATAGTGTTTTTTTATTTAGTTCACTTTTTAATCTTTAATCAATAATTCGATAGATATGGTGAAATACTCGATATTCAATTAGTTCGAAACAGAGAAACTGGTGAATCTAAAGGCTTTGGTTTTTTAAGATATGAAGATCAAAGAAGTACAATTTTAGCAGTTGATAATTTAAATAATTTTACGGTAAATTCTCATGTGTCCATCATAATGCATTGTCATTTTAAACATAAATGGTCTCTGACTATTTTTTTCGAGCAGGTCATTCGTTCTCTTTGCCAACTCAACTATCTTTTTACATAAATGTCATAAAGGATATAAATAATAATAATAATAATAATAATAATAATAATATATATATATATATAGTAAGAGGAAAAATAATACATATATTTTTTTTTCCTATTTGAATTTCAATATTTATTATAGCTTTTAGGTCGTACCCTACGAGTTGATCACGCAAGTGCTGAAACGAAAGATGGAGAAAAAAGAACAGGAATGAATGCCGCTCCTCCTTTATTGCAAAGAGGTTAGTTTTTTTTTTTTTTTTTTGAAAAAAAAAATATAATATATATTTCGGTGTTTGATTATGATTATTTATGTTGTCATTTTTCCCAGATAATGATGAATCTGGATCGGATAGCGAAGATTCTGAAGATATAGAGAGCAAAGTGGATCCGGATGATCCGATGAGAGAGTTTATTATCAAGAAATTAAAAAAAGAGAGAAAGAAAGCAAAGAAAAAGGCAAAAAAAGAAAAGAAAAAACGAAAAAGGAATGAAGATGATGAGGTAGAAGCAAAAAGAAATGTCACAAGGGAAAGATCACGATCATGGTCTAGAGAAAGAAATGTTACAAAGGAAAGATCACGATCATGGTCTAGAGAAAGAAATGTTACAAGGGAAAGATCACGATCATGGTCTAGATTTAATAGTAGAGATGACGTTCGTGGACGTGAAAAGAGGCGCGTCGAAAATTATACTCGGGAAAGATCACGTTCGCGTTCACGTTCACGAGGACGTGATTATGACCGTAATAGGCGTGTTGGAAGTGTAACTCGGTATAAATCCCGTTCGCGTTCGCGTTCTAGGTCCAGAAATCATGGTCGTGGTTCTGAACGGAGCTATCGATAAGTGGATCGTATTTGATTAAATTGATTAAAGAGCCTTTGTTCTTCGATTATAGAAGTTATTGAAAAGTGACACAAGTTACTTATAATTAATAATTATTTACATTATTTTTTAAATACTAGATGAAATAAAATTAATAATTATCTTACAAAAAAAAAAAAGTGCCCTATATAATTTTTAATATAATGGGTAACAACAACATTTTGATAATTGCCTTAATATATGGGGCTTCGTCAATAAAAATGCACTTATGTTATTTGGGTTGTTCTATTGACGAAGCCCCAATATCTAACCTAATAAGATTTTTTTGGCTGATTTCGTGTATTATTAGGGGCATCTTTTGCGTTTTCACGTGATCAAACATGAAAATTAAATTCTGTAACTATATTGTAAAACATAATTGTTACCAACGATATCAAAGGGTATATCGGGTTAGATTAAGCATTTGCTAAAATTAATGCACGCATACTTTAGAAGGTTTGATAAACCAAATATAAAGATTAGAAATCGACCACTTTATTTATATTAAAAAATAATTAAAAAGTGGTGTTACTATTCGTTGCAGTCATCACCACAACGATCTATATATAAAAAAAATTTTTTTTTAGAATAAGTGGCTATACCTCGAGATATGTGTTGGGTTTTAGGGGAGAAGATTATGTAAAGATTTTTCAAAAACCTTCACATAAATTCTCTCCTAAAACCTTAAAACATTTTATTTTGTTGTGCAACATTATCAATCGATAAAAATACTCGATTTTAAACAGATTTCTTTCCATTTTCGCTGAAATTTTAAATAAAAAAATTCTACATAGAAAGATTCACAAGGATTATGCTAATAGTATGATTTTCGCTTTGAGTTGCTCAAACAAAATTGCGAGAGGTCTTGGGTTCAATTCTCCATTAATTTAACGAGATTATTATTTTTTTTTTTTTAGAAACGATCTTTATATGTAAAATTTAATACATTTGTTGTTTTTCATTAAAATAAACGAATCTGAATATTCCGTTTTAACCATATCTCAATCCTAAATAAAATCCACTAACGAAACAACTCTTGAATTGAAATTTTACGGTTAACAAATCAATAAGAATTCTTAATTTGGATTTTGTATCTCGAGCTGTAACATGACCATCTTGATCAACATCCATTTCTTGAGTAAAGGCATTATTAATTCGTTGCCAATGTATAGTAACAAATCCTTGATACGCCATATACTACAAGAAAATATTAGTTCTAAATTCTAAACATTAAGGTTACCAATGTTAAGATTTACCTGTAGAAAAACAAAACCGATTCCAACCGCTATTGCGACCATTTTCCCAATTTTCTTGAATAGGAAACCAGTACAAAATCCCAAGATTGAACCAAATGTTATATCTCCTTTGCTAATTAATTTCCTCTTGGGTGGAGGTGGAACGACATGATCAGATTGCTGTTCAATATTATTAATGAGAACAGTTTGATCTAGTAAAAACGTTAAAGAATTAACTTTTAAATTCGAATCGTAAAGAATGAATTAAATCAAATATGTCAAAATACAATACCTCCGGCATTGGCTATTCGATAATATAGATTGTTGATTTAAGAATAAAATTTGGATCGATCAAATTGTCGACTTAAATTAAAAAAAAAAAAAAAAGCTACTCTTATAAATAAACTAAAACCTTCGCAATAGACAGGACCGTACCAATAATTCCAAGTAGATGCACTTATAAACGTTTTTGTAACAAAATTGGTCCCAACAAACTTCGCGTCTGTATATCACGTGTAAAATTGAACGTGTTAAAATTTTTCCGTGAAATTTAAACGGTTTAAAAAATTAATTTATTATTTCATAATTCAAAATTCAAAATACTAGTTTGTTTTGAAATACGGTCAGAAATATGCCAATGACGAGAATGGAATGGCTTTCGAATACAGTAATTTGGTTTTATAAAGGAATATGAAAAGTTCTTTGTAATTTTGGGTAAAAGGAAGTTTGAACTCAAGCGTTTTTGGCAAAGAAACCGAATCATGTTGATTGATAAGTGCCGTTTTTTTCGTTTTAGAAATTTGATACAAATAAATAATGGTCATAGGTTGATCACGTGAGAACGAAACTCCCACATATAAATTTTGCCTAAAAATTATTTTTGATCCAAAATCTCTTCAACAAAAACTATAATGTTAGAATGGATTACGAATCTGCTCAATCTAAAGATTTTTCATATTCATTCTGTTTAACCAAAGATTTGAATTTTCCATTAAGAGTCCGAATGTAAGTCAAAATGCATTGGTTTTATAACAATTGATCAAATGTTGACGAACATTCCTTGCCAATTACAGCTCAGCTCTTGAAGGAACTCGAGAAAAAAAACAATTCACTACATTACTCGAAGAACCTTCCCTAAAATTTACTGGTTTGCAAACTAGGTAGGTAAATTATTTCTAATAAATGTTCAATTTGAAGACTTTCAGGTGATCTAAAATGCTTATTTTTTCTTGCTTCCTAGCGATTATTCCGAATTATATGTAACTTGTCAATTATATGCTGATAATAAACCATTGACTATACCCATCCGAACTTCATATAAAACGTTCAAGAATCATTGGCTGTTGGTATTTAATTCATAAGGTCAATCGTACTATGTTATTATTTCTGATAATTATTAACATTTTTTTATTGAAAGATAGTTGGAATGAATGGCTCACAATTCCTGTAAAATTTCGTGATTTACCTGCAACTGCCCAACTCGCCTTCACAGTATGGGACATTTATGGACCACGTAAAGTTGTTCCTATAGGTGGGACTACATTTCGACTTTTTGGAAAACACAAGTGAGATATCATTTTTGATTAACCATATTACAAATTAAAATATTTTAAATATTTTAGTTTCGTTGTTTTGTAAATAGCACACTGAGAAAAGGAAAACACAAGTTGTTTCTTTGGCCTGACGTTGAAGCTGATGGTCGTGATCATACAACTACACCAAGTAAGGTTGGTGAAGAGGATGAAATGGATCGGTTAGAGAAGGTGAGTTAGAATGTTCATTTTTTATTCATAATTACTTTTTTATACTTATTTTCTGCTATTTTTGAACCGTGTAGCTTGTTAAAAGGTATGAGAGAAAAGAAATGCCCAGGCTTGAATGGTTAGATCACCTTGCATTCCGACAACTTGAGAAAATTCACGAGGTAAAATTTTAGATTGATTTATTTTTATTTTACTATGTTATTTAATATTCAAATATTCATTTATTTAGGCAGAATCGTCAAAGTCAAAGAAATTGTACTTATATATATATCTACCAAAGTTCGATTTTCCACTAGTATTCAGCGAACCGGTATTTAGTATTTAATCTTTTTTAGCAATATTATTTTCTAAAAAGAATTTGGGATTAATTTTTTTTTTTTCGTAGGAATATTCGTTACCAGTAGTTTCAATGACCCCGGTGAATGGGCAAACACAACCTACACCGTTATCTTCATCGTCTGAGTCAAACCTGGTATTGATCATGGATCCCGAAATTACTGGGGAAAATCCAGTTGAAGCAAAGCATAGGCGTTTAGTGAGAAGTCATCGAAATGGATCACTTGATCGAGACTTAAAACCGAATGCCAAGTTACGTGATGAGCTTAATGTAAGTAAATAAAAAATTAGTTTATCATTAACGTCAAAATATGTATACATTTATATATATATTTTTTTATTAAAAGGAAATTTTGAAATATCCTCCTACTCAACCTTTGACAGAAGAAGAAAAGGATAATATTTGGAAGTATAGATTTTATCTTACTCGTGAAAAGAGGGTATTTTTTATTTATATAATTATTCTTTTTTGTCTCTCTTTTTTTTTTTTTTTTAGTTGTCCTTTTTATCAATAATTCATATATTTCATCTTTTTTTTTTTTTTTGTAGGCACTTACAAAATTTTTGAAATGTGTAGTGTGGACAGATCCAACGGAAGCTAAGCAGGCTGTTGAATTGTTGTTCAAATGGGTTGACATTGATTTAGATGATGCTCTTGAATTGTTGGGAGCGAATTTTGAGAATCGAGCAGTTCGTAGATATGCTGTCAGTCAATTGAAGAAGGCCGATGACGATGTAAGTTGATCATTTTTGAAAAAATATATATATATATATATTTTTAATCCATAACTTTCGTTTTAGGAATTATTATTGTATCTATTGCAACTTGTACAAGCCCTGAAATTTGAAAACATAAGTGAAAAGTCCAGCTCATCATATGAATCAAGTTTAGCAGAGTTTTTAATTGAAAGAGCTGTTAAGAACCCAATACTTGGAAATAATTTTCATTGGTAAGTGATTCTATTTTTTATATGTACATTATGTTTCGTGAAGGGGAGAAAAGGATTTAATTTTGTTTCAAGATTAGGTACCTTATGGTTGAATGTGAAGATAAAGTTGTTGGTAAAATGTATGCTAAAGTTGCTTATCAATTTATGATAGCCATAACGGAGGTAAGTATTTTAATATGTTTTCCTTTTTATTTTTCAATTACTTTTTTAATACTTTTTTATAGATCCCTAATGGATTTCAACGAAGAGATATACTTCGTAGACAAGGAGAACTAGTTGCTATATTATCGTCTATTTCCAAAGAGATTCGTACTATGAAAGACATAAGGCCAAAAAAGGTAGTTAATTAAAATTTTAGTACTAGTTTTTTTCTCGAGTATAATGTTGTTTAAATCGAATTATCTTCTTACAGATTGATAGATTGAGAGCTTTAATATCGGATCCTAAATATGGACTTTTGCAATTTTCCCCTTTACCTTTGCCTCTTGACGCACGCATCCACGTGACTGGAATTATTTCAGGTAAAGTGAAACAAAACCATTTCATTTAAACAAACGAATTTATTTCTAAATGTATTATTGGGTATATCATTAGAATTAGCAACGGTTTTCAAAAGTAACTTGTTTCCATTACGGTTGACATTCTCTTTAGTCGATGGTGACGAGTATCCCGTAAGCAAATATAGTTTAATTTGATCAATCTTTATTGATTAGGATATTGTATAATTAACTTCTTTTTAGGTAATTTTCAAAACCGGAGATGACCTTCGTCAGGATCAACTTGTCATTCAAATTATCACACTCATGGATAAGCTTTTACGAAAGGAGAATTTGGATCTAAAGTTGACTCCATACAAAGTCCTCGCCACTGGTTCAGATCATGGTTTAATGCAATTCATCCCATCATTTTCATTAGCCAATGTATTAAGCGAATATAATGGCAGCCTTTTGATGTTCTTTAAAGCTCATCATCCAGAGGAAAAGGCAACATATGGAATTAGTCCTGCAGTTATGGATACTTATGTTAAGAGTTGTGGTATGTATACGTGAATATTTTAAAATTAGCTGTTAATTTCTTTTGTTTCTAATATTTTATTTATTTCGTCGTAGCTGGATATTGTGTTATTACATATTTATTGGGAGTAGGCGACCGACATTTGGATAATTTGTTACTTACACCTGATGGTAGGCCGAATTAAAAGTTTTGCTAAATTTGGTATAGACTTTTCTTGTTTGACAAGTTTTTTCTTTTTTTTATTTTGAAACGATAGGTAAATTATTCCATGTTGATTTTGGATTTATTTTGGGAAGAGATCCTAAGCCTTTTCCACCACCAATGAAACTTTGTAAAGAAATGGTTGAAGCGATGGGAGGAGCGAATTCCATTCATTATCAACGATTCAAAAGTTATTGCTATATTGCTTTTAACATCTTGAGGAAAAATGCAAATTTGATTCTTAATTTATTTGCTTTAATGGTTGACGCAAATGTACCTGATATTAAAATTGAACCTGATAAGGCTGTCTGGAAGGTAATTAATTATTAAGGAATCATGTTGGCATGTTTTTGTTTTGAATTACATTATTAAAAATTAACTTGTCTTAAACTATTTAGGTTCAAGAGAAATTTAGATTAGATCTATCAGAAGAAGAAGCCATTAAATATTTCCAAAATTTAATTAACGAATCAGTTAATGCAATGTTTCCACAAGTTATTGAAACCATACATAAATGGGCTCAGTACTGGAGAAAATAAAAGGTATGTACAGTATAAAATGTATAATATTTATGTTGTATTATTATAGACCATAATTTTATAGGTTATGATTAACTATAAATAAGGTTAATGTAATTTTTATTTAAAGAGATCCAAGTACAAATAGAGAATTATAATAAAGTTGTTTTGAAATTTAGTTAAAATGAGAGATTATTTCGAATGGACTCAAGTTGTAAATTACAATCATCTATATAAATTGTAAATGAAATAAAAAATATATTCAGCATGTCAAACGTTTTTTTAATTACGGCAAATCTACTACATTTTAGTTAATGTTTACACAAAAATTTTGCATAATTTAATTTCAAAAGATCATGCTTATAAAGTGTTCCCAATTCAGAATTCTTTAATACCTTTCTTTGGGAGAATTCTCCGAATGAAGTCAAAACATGTATATGTAAAAATTTTTATAAACTTACGCTCAGACTTATTTTACGTGTTACTAATTCATCCAAATCTCAAAAAGGTATGGTGTTATCGCATTAATCTTCGTGACCGAAATTATGGTTCTTACCCGAATATTAATATTTACCTTTTTTTTATGAAGAATTAAACATTAAAATCATATTCGATTTGATGGTTAAAGTTGGCTATAATAGTTTCGACCAAAGCGATGAAAACAATATTAATGAGGAAGATGAATCAACATTATATGTTTGATTGTTAGGAAAATCAGGTTCTGAGAAATTTTTGACTAAAATTAAGAGCATTTTGCATTTTAATCTAATAACATCAAAAAACTAAAATGCAATAAAAATCTCAATTTTGTTAAAAATTCCCGGAACCTGATTTTCCTAACAATCAACCCATATGTCGTAAATTGCATCAACTCAAACTGCTGAATCAGCTTTGATAATATTCCTTTGAGTGAACAAATATTTGTAACAACTCAAACTGCAAAACCAGATTGATACTGTTCTTCTAAGTGAGCAAGAATTATTGAATCTCAAAGGGAGGCATCGTTTCGATCAAACGATGATAGCAATATTAATGAGGAATATGAATGTCTTAAATAGAGAGCTCGAACAATAAACTGATATATCTTATTAAATTATTAAATGATTTATAAAAATACTTTGACTATTTGAAGTAGAAGAATTCGTAACAACACCAACTTCTAAACCGTGTTTATACTGTTTGTCTGAGTGAGTAAGAATTATCTGAAAGGAGGAATACAAGTCATTAAATCTTTTAATTTCGCATTAATTAATGTCTCGTGACTTGATTTAATAAAAATAATTCATCCACCAATCAAATTTGTTTACTTTGATTGGCCGATTAAGTTATAAAGAACGCGAGGTGCTTTCCTTATTGCTTTTCTCTTACATTTGTTTTCATTTAAAACAAAAATGATTAAGCAACAGACCATTAACGAAGATAAATCAAAGGTAGAGCAAATTCCTTTGAACTCGTCATTTGATAATAATAGTTCACTTGTCTCGAACGTTATTGAAATACAAGAAATGCACGTTCAAAAACCCAAAATTTCTCGTGAAACCTTGCTACCGAAAATTGCAAAAAAGTAAGTTTTATGAAAAGTATATTGGAATTTTTAATGGAAGAACTTATTATTAATATAATATTTATTCTTTCATTTATTTAATTAATTATTTTTTTTTTAAAAAAAAAAAAATGAAGTTTTGTTTCTCCAACCGATAGAAACTTGTCACCATGCACAAAGAAGTTGCACGCCAAAAGAGAAAAAAATTACAAGAGGTATCAAATTCATAATAATTTTTTTTTTATTATTTTTTTTTTTTATCATCGATCATGATTTTTATTTTCATTTCTTATTATAAATAGTGGTAAACCAATATTCCTTAGTAACATTCTCTCTTTAAAAGAAAATAAGGAGAAACAAGTTAAAGATGAACCAGCTAACCCCGAATCTAAAGATATCTAAATGAGACTTACTTTGATCAAGCATATTAATAGGAACAAATGACAGATTTTATTGGAAAGCATTACTTTTATATTTATAGTATTTTTTCATTAACAAAACATGATGCTTTTGTTTGTTGAGAAATTTTTTTTTTTCCTTTTAAAAAAAAAAAAAAAATTATTATAACTTTAATGCATAGAGCATGTGTAATGATTTCTTTTCGCGTTTCTTTTCTTTTTTTCGCGTTGAAGATTTTTTTTTTCTAAAAAAAAAAAAGCCCTTTTAAAAAATAAAAGTCAATTTCTATTTAAGATAATTTAAAGAATGTTTTCTACAGTTTAAATCACGTGTTCAAAAACAGAAACTTTTTTATTAATATAATTAAGGATGTTAACGGTTCCGATTTTTATCTATTTGAATGGTAAAATCGAACTGTAAACCAATTTATTGATCGACGAAATATAGACCGGAGTTTATATATATTGTATAAATCTTAAAAGACGAAAATTAAAAAATTATAGAATTGTACGACAGAAAGTGCATTGCGTTTTAATTTTCCCAATCCAAATTTTATAACAAAAAATATAAAAAAATTTGATTTTTTTTTATTATCTACCGATTGTATTATTTACCAAAACTTTTTATTCCCGCCAAGATATTGACCTGAAAACCATTTCGACTTATTTTGTTGTGCATCCCCACAAAAATTTTTGTTATTTTCTTTAGAAAAGAAATCGGTCTATCAATTCGATCTGATCCTCAAAATCGAACAGAAACCGGTTCTATACTGTACTGTAATTAAATGAATGAATATATTTGTACATGATAAAAGAATATGAGAATTATGATTATCCTTTTAAACCAATTCAATAATGATTCTCTATATGGAGATATTTCGATTATGATCACAAGGGTGATGATAGACAGGTATTTTCATCATTTTTAAAATTTCGTTTTGATGATATTCGCATTCAAGATTCGTTATCAATAACTTTAATGAATTTCCCTTTGAAGAGCATTCAACAATTTGTTATCTGAAGATGATGATGAATTCTCATCAAGATTCATTATCATTAAATTTTTTTTTTTTTTTGAAAAAAAAGGGGACCGAGATTCTTATTTAACAAATAAGTATTCATTCATTCTGTCGAGTGTAAAAAGTTTCGCTTACAAACATTATTTACATTGATGAGTAAAGATCTAACAATTTATTTTTATATGCCAATTATTATAATGCAACTCGGCTGAAATAAATCCGGATTTATTTTGGCAAAACGCCATATCATCCAACTAAATGACTCTTTTGAAATTGATTTTTAAAGTTACGTTACAAAATCATAGGTACATACCTCTATTAGTATTACCAATTTCAATCAAACCAAACAAAATGTCTGCTATTTCGGATTATTTTATTATATTCTTTTTTTTTAAAAAGAAAAAATCTTCAAAATAAATAAAATCTATATTTTTTTTTTTTTACAAAAAAAATAAATGGATAAGTAGAATAAATACAAAGTAAAATAAAATTTGTAAATATATATTAAAAAAAAAGGGGGGATGTAGAAATAAAATAAAGTTTTTTAAGTTTATCCTTCAAACAATTTCACTTCTTTTCTCCTTTTTTTTCGATCTTCCTTTAACCATCTCAATGTTCTCCTTTTCTTTCAATATTTGTCCATTTAAATTTTCTTGAATCAAAACTAATTTATCAATAATTTTATTAACATCCCCTATAAAACTATCTTTTTCTTGTAAAAATATATTTGATTTGCTAGTAATTTCCCAAAAACATGCATAATCATTTTCAATAGTTTCATTTAATGTAGTGAATACTGTACCAATAATATATTCCTGTAATCTTTCAATTGATATTGGAACTTTTGATTTAAATTTATTTATGGCATAATCAAATAATCTTGATTTATTATTTTCTACATAATTTTGTAAATAATCCTTCATTGATTGCCAATTTGATTCTTCCATGGTATCTGCAAATCACATTAATCTCGAGGTTAATGCAAAGTACTTTTTTTTTTTTTCTTACAAATAAATAAATAATGTATGATTACTCACTGAGATATGCTACTTTCATGGAGTTTTTCATAGAATTTTCTAATTCGAATTGTAATTCAAATTGTAATTCTCTAAACTTATCTAAAATCTTTTCTTTAATATTGTTCATTTGTAATTCCCTATTGTCTTTAATTTCTAATTGAAATTTTTCTATATATTTCTTCTTATCTGGTGATATTGTTAATATCGTTTTATCAATAGCTTCGAAAAATCTCGTTATTTCTTCATTAACTTGAGTGTCAAGCTGTTCAACTAAATTTTTTGGCATTTCACTAAATACTATAAACCAATTATTCGTCACTGATTTTATAATCGGATGAATCAAATCCTAATTTAAAAAAGAGATTAAGAATTTAGACGATTTTGAAAATATATAGTTGATGTAAATTCGCTTACTGCATTAAAGTTATGAGGTAAACCATTAGAATCTATGTAATATCCATCTCTCTTGACAGTGGCTTTCCAAATGGCATGGTGAAGATGACGCTAAAAGCAAATATTAAAATTTTAATTTACTACTATTTAAAAGTAAAGTTATAACTTTTATAACATACCCCATGACGACTAATTGTGGTAATACATTTGTTTTCGGCTTCAATCCTACCAACATCATCGATTTTTTTAAAAACATATTTATCTATTTCATCCGAAAATTTTTTCATAATATTGCCTACTATCTTCCTATATTCAAATATTAATCTATATCTTTCATCACTAAATTTATTTTTTGCTTGTTGTCTTTTGTCCATAGTATCCAATAAAATATTATCATTCGTATATCTTAACATTGATTCGATTAATGACTTGATATTTTTGATTATATTATTAATCTTATTTGAAATATTGATTTTACTAATTTCTTTTAGATGATTTATGAGGTTTGGGATCTCTGTATCTTCTTCATTTAAGATTCTAAATAAAAAAAGGGGGGAATTAGATAAGGAAATATAGAAAGAATATTTTTTTTTTTTTAAAAAAAAAAAATAATAATAATAAATACCTTCCTCTTCCATCATCACGCATAGTACGATTAAGTTTCATGTATTCTGCTGAGCTAACGGTGAAAACTTGCAAATCGCAAGTATTCGTACAATCTTTCATAAATTCTAAAGAAATAATTTCATAATCTCAATAAGTCAAATTCTTTTAAAAAAAAAAAAAAAAAAAAAAAAAAACTTAATAAAATATACATGCTTACGTTGAGATTGTAGTTCAAATTTAAGGATATGTTGTTTAATTTTTTCATTCCGACATTTAACGGCGGAAACGGCCGATTGTCTTGATATATGCGCCAAATCATTTTGAATTTTTGTCAATCGATGATCTTTTTCTTCTAATTCTTTTTCTAATTTGTTAATTTTTTCTCTCGTTAAAGCAAAATTTGTATCTTCTTCTTCCTTTAGCTCTTCAATCTCTTCCTTGATTAATTGTACGTCATCTTCTAACTTTTCTCGCTCGACATTTAACTCATTTGATCTTTCGTCTAAGTTTAGTATTGGTTAGATAAAGTAATACCACCCACGTATCTGTATATAAATAGGTAGACCCGTTCGTACATACCGATTTCGTCATCAGAATCGTCAAGAGTTATAATGTCAGAATGAGTACAAATAAAGGTTCGAGATAAATATTTTCCAGTCATTTTAAGCTATCAAGGGACAAATTTAAGTCATAAGGAAAATTACGAAAACAAAAAAAAAAATAAATAAATAAATAAATAAAACTTACCTGATCACGAAGACTTTCGCTAAGAATATTTGCAGTACTTTCTTCACTGATGGCTCTGTTAATGTTACTGATGATCCAAATATGATCCGTAATATCTAAAACACTTTTAGCGGTTTGACTTCTATTCTCATTAATGTCACAATTACCAGGTACATCGATCAATACTACACCATTCCTCAATACTTCAAAAGGTCCTTGAATGTGAATCTCTTTAATAAAAGGCCAATGCGGTACACTACTAGAACCGTTACTATAGTTACTCCTAGATGCGGACGATGAACTTTTACCATGTCCTTCTTTCGGTGGAAGAAACTTTTTTAATGTTTTTATTAGTTCTTTGACGTCACGTTTTGGTGTTGTTTCATGAATTGGATTTTTAAGTAGTTCTCGTATTGAATTATCCGCCATCGCCATTTCTTTGGTTATCTTATTTGGTCCAAATACGATTTCCTTATTATTATCATCGGTAACTACGTATGACATCCCTGGACCGAACAGAGTTTCAAGCAATTTTTCAGATTCATCTACACAAACATAAAAATAAATCAATTAATCTTCAAATCTTGATGTTTTTAATTAAAATGTAACTCACTCTTTTTTGATAAACTTTGAGAATCAATATCTTCCTCTTCACTCAATAATTCGAATGCTTGTTTGACTTCACTTTGATATTCTTCAAACCTTTTATAAAAAATTTTAGCCGTAAATTCTGAATTATTTGATATCCTCCAAAGGAACGATGTACATGCTCTGTAAAAAAAGAAGAAAATTATTTAAAAAAAAAAAATATTTTTTTTTAACAATAATTGTTTAATTAACGTACTCGCCGGATCCAGCCGTTGGCATCACTTGATGATTAAGCAACGCATTTATAAGCGAAGATTTTCCTTTTCAAAAAAGTTTTCACTTGGAATTAAAATAAAATTCACTTTTTAACCATATCAAAACTTCTTTTGTTAACAACACCTTTTTACTTACCAGACCCAGTGTTACCGATAAGACAAACATTTAAATCCAACAAATCGTTTCTATCAGAGGAACCTTCTACCTCTCTATTAGGCTTTAATTTATTTCTTACTCTTTCAATTTCTTTTCGAAATTCTTTTGTTCTGGTATCTCTAAATATCGAATAATTTTCTATTGCATCACTCAATGAATTTAAACACTCTCTTAAATAATTTATTAGATTTTTCTGGTAATATTTTGAGGTTACATTTGATAATTCTGTTAGTGTTTGGGCGTTGGTGCTTGAGGATTCCACTATAGTGTTGTCGACGGTCATAATTTAAAATTTGCATTAGTGTGAAATTTGTCAAAAAAAGTTACGAATAGAAATTTTAAGGTTTACAAAAAGAAAGGGAAATTTACGCAGGCATAATGTTCCACAATTCGAGAATAAATGTGTGATAAAATCTCCTTTAGGTTAGTAATGGATTTTATTCGTGAAAGGAAAAGTTCGGGAAAAAAAAAACTCCGCGTAGTAAATTCGTGGCGAAGTTCACAAATGTAACAAAAAAAGATTTTAATGACAATAGATGTTTATTAAATTAATTAAAAATTTACAAAATAAGTAGCTAATGTATCATAAAATAACGGCCCACAGCATCAAACGGTTCTATTGTTAATATGCGTTTTACATTTTTTTCTTTTTTTTTTGGCTTTTTTTTTTTGGTTTTTTTTTTTTTGTTAGTTTTTTTTTTTTTTCTTTTGCACCTTCTCCGATGGTACATTCGTATTACGCCAAAAAACTTCAACTGCACAAAGCAAGAATGGTTGTTAAATGATTATTTTTTCCCTTCAAAATAAAATAAATTACAAATTTTTGTAGAAAACTACATCAAGTAAATTGGTAATTATCGAAGAGGAAAAAACCTTCATAATCCCTTATCCATCTCCAAAAGGGAATCAGCACTCGTCCAAGAATCTTTATTTCGAATCTAATTAGGTTAAATTCGAAATATTAAACCCGAATGTTAGACTATGTTCATACTTCGAAAACTATTTGTCATTCTACTCAATTCAGGTTTAACATTAGATAGTTTAACGTTAGGTTTAACGTCAGGAGGATCAGGTGGTTTAGCATCAGATTTACCATCACCCCTTATGGTATTGAGGGCCTTGATGGCGGCCTGTTTTTTAGCGTCCTTTTTATTTCTCGCCGTCCCCTGGGCGTATGCTTTATTGTTGATGACCACTTCAAAGGTAAACTGTGGATTATGATCTTGACCTTTCACTTCAACTTCTTTATATAGAGGTAAACCATATGCTCTTCTCTGTGACCAGGTTTGAAGGGTGTTAATAGGATCTTCATGGGGTAAATTTGGAAAAGACAAATCTCGAGGACCGATTATAGGACTAGAAATATTTTGTTTCTGTGGGTTTGTATTTGAAGAAAGACCTTCCTTTAGAAGTTGCTCAACTTTTGGTTCTATTAAAGGTTTCATAAATTCCATTACTTCGTTATAATTTCTTCTTGTATCTAAAAATATGGCTCCGACGTAAGCTTCAAAAGCGTCTTCTAAAACCTTTTCATTATTCCTTGCGTTAGAACTCAAAGCTCCGACGCCTAACCTTAACTTGACATCTAATTTAAGCTTTACCGCAAATTCTGCCAAAGTTTGTTTACAAACTAACTTTGCTCTCAGCATCGTAAGTTCTCCTTCCTTATAATCTTTGCATCTATCATATAGATAATCCGCCACCACAAAAGATATAATTGAATCTCCCAAAAACTCCAACTTTTCATTATGATTCCCGCTCATTGGATTTTCATATGCGTATGATTTATGCGTTAGTGCCTCTCGTTCAAGTGCTTCATTAACAAATTGTCTTTCTAGGATGGGAGTATGTTTTGACATTTTTTTTTTGTATATTGGTTTTGATTTGACAACACAGATTATATTGTTTTTTTTTTTTGAAAGAATAAGTTGTAAACGGGTGAGAAAAATTTCGAAAATTTTTTTTTTATTATTTTTTTTTTTATGTCGTTAAACATTACCCTTTATATATAATGGTCGATCGATACTCGATTACTAAATGGAGAGACAAAAACTTTTTTAATGAGACTTTTTTTGTCTCTTTTTAGGACGATCACGTGTTTGAATAACATAAAGAATAACATAAAAAAAAAATTAGATTGTTGATCATGACACTTAAACTGTCACAAACGTCACACGATGTTTTGTGGCGCAAAGCGTTTTGTATGCCAAATACTAAAAAAGCCGAGTTTATAAATGATTTCCGAAAAACCACTAAAAATTATTTTTGAAAGGGAAATTATTTATCATAGAAAGGATCAATGTTTGTCAATGTGTTTGTCTTAAATAAAATGGGCCAATGCTTTTTTGTTTATTATTTTTTGTTCATATTTTTGGTAATTATTAATGCTTTATAAAAACTAAATTCCGAATATTTTTTCTGTGCACACACAATGTAAAATGATAAAATTGTCCATACCCACCATTTTATTGATCATCGATATAAAATGTCCGAAAAATATGTGCGTTATATGAAACCTTTCTTTTGTAATTATTCCCCTCCCTAAAAGATAATTTATTTTATTCAAAAAAAAAAAAAAAAAAAAATGAATTATGTGAGTAAATAATGTGTGATTGTTTTCCGAAATGTCTGAGGTAGCTTTTTTGATAAACTTCAAAAAATACCCTTTTAATAACCATTAACTGATTCAATGATCACCTCATTAATAGTTTAATTGTAGCACTTGCAGGCAAAAATTCAACACTTTTATGTGGTGTGATTCATGTCAAAAGCAGGAATTTGAGAATAATTTCAAAAACTGGACGAGTGAAAATGATGAAATCGATTCTTTTATACAGCAAACCCAATTAAAGGCGATAGATTTTGATCAATTCATTCAATGGATGCCTTTTGAAGGTTTTGACATCTTGGGAAAGGTTGGCCAAGGAGGCTTTGCTACGGTCTATGAGGCCATTTGGTGTGATGGTCCTATATGGAATTGGAATGTCAAGAGTAGAAAATGGGAAAGAAATGATTCTTGCAGGGTTGCTTTGAAAGTGCTTGAAGATTCAAAAGGTAGCACGGAATTTTTGAAAGAGGTAATTTATTCATGTATAAAAAAAAAATTTTTTTTTTTTGAAAAAAAAAAAATAAATAAATAAATTTAAACATATATGCATGTACGCACACACGTATGTATGTACAAAAAAAAAAAAGATTTCGGCATACGTTGAATGTGCGGCTTTGTCTGTATTAAAGCAAACTATCCTTCGATGTTATGGAATTTCTCAAGACCCGGAAACTCAAGATTTTATTATGGTTCTAGAATATATGCCGTACGGTAATATTCATCTCTTGGAAGCGAAATTTGATTGGTCGACGAGAATTACAATTCTTAAAGATATTCTTCACGGTCTCCTGACAATTCATAAAAAAGGGTTGATACATCGTGATTTGCATGCGGGAAATATTTTAATGAGAAATAATTTAAGTGGTCAGGAATCAAAAATTGCGATTACGGATATAGGGCAAAATGGACCTCCTTATCATACTTTTGGAACGGATTTATACGGAGTTATGCCGTATATCTCCCCAGAGGTGTTGAGAGGTAACGCATACACTCAATCCTCCGATATTTATAGTTTAGGAATGATCATGTATGAGCTCATTTCAGGAGTTCCTCCATTTTCAAATCGAGCACATGATCAAACGTTAATGCTTGACATTTGTAATGGGGTGAGACCTGAAATTAAAAACATCGATAAATTTCCGGACGATTTTATTAAAATATTAAGAAAATGTTGGGATCCTAATCCATTCAATCGTCCTTCAGCACATGAATTATTTTTGTTTGATAATTACGGTGAACTAGATGTTAAGGATGAAAAATTGTTCAAGTTCGGACACGAATACGAATTACATCCTGGTGCCGTTTATATTAGTCGTGATCTTAGCATATATGCTCAATATTTATCACAAGATGAAGTAGTAGAAATCGAATGGAGTAAAGGTAAAAAATTAGAAGTGTACGAAAGGTAGGTTTAAAGGCCCTTTTTTTTTTTTTTTCCTCTCCTTTAATCTGTAATGATTTATAAATGATCTAAATGATTATTGAAATTGTTTCTTTTTTTCTCCTTCGCAGTTCCTGCACCACAAAATTACAAAATATGAATGACGAATTCGGAAATCATTTTACTTTTTAATTGCATAATATATTTATTCATATATGCAACAAATAGTCAGGTATATTTTATTGTATTTATTATATCATTATATTTTAAAAATAGACATTATATATGTTCGAAATATAGATTAGGAGCGATCAAATGAATAAAAGTATAACTAATAAAGTTATTTTAAATAATTGTGACATTGAACAAATTTATAAAGGCCATGAATGAATAAATTGAATTTTTTTTTACAATACTCCTCACTCTAGCTTTCCGAGTCACGTGACATGTTTTGCCTTTGATATACAATTAATATTTCGATTTCTTTGTAATTTTATTAGAAGATAAGGTACACTGATAATGAATCTTTCTACTATTAATGAATAAGCTAATAAAACACGATTATTTGATTGAAATTACAGTATTATATATTATTTTATTTAAAAATTGTTCATTTACTTTCATATTAATCTATTTTGGTCGATCTCTCTATTGTATAATGCATAAAATAAAATGATTGATTATTGTCTTTTTAATATCTTTTCTTTCAATTATGTTCGTTTTTCTGTTATTCTATCGATTAAGTTCGGATCAAAAATGATCGAAAGAAAAGATACGAAAAAAACGGGAGATAATAGAAAAAAAAATTAGCAATATTGGAGAGTACTAACTGATCAACGAACGTGTATGCTGTTGATCTAGCGATCAGATGAAAAATTTCGATACATTGGGACCGCTAAAAAAGGGTACCTTAGAATTTGTTCGTTCCCATGTGATGTTCAATTGATCAAGTATGAATTGTTCAGGATAACAATACACGTTTCAACTCCATTGATCAAGCTCGACTATATTGTGTCACGACACAATGCAAGAATTGCTCATGCTGTATTGACAGATACCGCAGAAAATCTTTTCTTTGGCATAATGAAACGCGAATTCTAATGAAATTGTTTGATCATTTAGTGGATGCTAATGAATAGGTCATCTATAAGATTAGAAATCCTTGTAAAAGAAATTGATCCATTCAATGACGTTATCATCATCACAGAGAGTACAACAATCTAATTAGACTTCTAATAATATAATGTAACCGGCACGTAGGAATTAAATACATTTATGCATTAGAAGGTGCATATCCATAATGAACAGTATGAATTATCGTCCCTTGTACGATTTTTTCTTGCGTATTAATGTTTAGTGGGTGAATTATTGCTTGCTTGTGAGAAGCGGCTGTATTTTTATTTTTTTTCCTACGTTTAACAAGTGGATTAAAAGAAATTTTGTCAATTTTCATCGTTCTCAATTTGAAAATTGAAACGCAACCTGATAATATGACTAGGTCACCAGAACAAATTTCGCTCCTGGGTAAATTTCTGGAATTGTGGCGCGAAAAATATTTAAAAGTCAACTTTTAAGGAAAAAACGTGGCAAAATCCCATTCAATTTCTATTTGATCAAATTGTTAATCAAGTGTCATTGTGCATGCGAACTCGTCTTATGTTCCTCAAAAATCATTTGACTTGTGTATTTGCATAAGAAGATATGACAGGTATTCTGTTTCTCTAAACATTCTTCTTCCAACTAGTCTTATCATTCTCAGAATTTGGTGAACTCGCTTCATCAAATTTCAATACAAATTTCTTTTTTTCTTTTTTTTTTTTTACAAGTTTCATATTTATTAAGGTGATTTTATTTTTTACTTCTACATTATACAAAATACTTTACTAACTTTTCTTGAATTTTATTCATATTTTCGAACCAATATTTAAAGAAATATCTCGATTTTTCTTTAAATTTCGAAATTTTCGTTCCTTTTTTATTTGTTTATTTCTTAAATAGTTAAAATTTTCAGGAATAAATCATACCATGACACCTAACACCAAACTTTCTCGATGACTGCAAATACACGGTCTATAAACATCAAGGGCGTTGTTTCTAGGAAAACAAGAAGTGAAAGCAAATTTTTTGCAAGTACTCCAAGTTCTGAGGATAATTCTTCGACTGAAGATACGACAACTTTATTAACAACGCAAATAAAAAAACCCTCCCGAGATAAAAATGTTATTGACGATTTGTTTACTAATGAAGAATTATCTAGTCACACAAAAGGATTTCCACAAACTCCAGGATCCTTGGATACGTTTGCATCAAATAATGGAGCTCTTGTGTTTAAGGGTAAATATAATTTATCACTTTGCATTTAAATTTGATGAGTTACCCTGTTTTTTTTTTTTGCTAAAAATTTCGCGATCTATCATACTTTTAGATGATAATCAACATTCGATCGAAGCTGCCATGGGATCCTCGATTCCTTTCCAAGTAGCATCCCATTATACTCGTGACTACGAGAGTATTCTAGAGAGTAAACGACGTCAAGGTAAGATGACTTTTATTTTATAGTAATTTTCATTCGGATACGTGAATATCGCTTTAAGAATTCTCTATCTTTCGATAGGTCGTTTGTTATTAGTTTCGCTACTGGAAAACTTTTGTTTATTATATGATACGAATCCTGAAAGAAATCACAAGACGTTCTACATCATATGTAAGACTTTAAGTGCTATGGGAATCATTGAGGAGGAGGTTAGTAAACCAATTTTGTCGGAACAAATAGGCAAAGAAAATTTGATAATAATCATAGAGATTAAATCACGGTGGAGTCATATTTAACGCGTCTCAATCCTTGAAAAGTATATTGACGAAATGTCTACCGTTCGATCGTCGTATCAACGCACATTCAAAGCTTTACTCGTTCAAGCGTTGAATTCCATAAAGCAAGAACAACTAATGAAAGAATCTCATATGATTATGGATTCGAACCATGAAGAAGGAATAACAAATGCCAACAAGCATTCTGTTACTGACTTTCATGAAATTCAGTAAGAATAGGAATAGGTGATTATTGTGATTATAAAATGATCTAAATTGCCAATTTTAATATTCGTTTATTTCAGTAGATTTCATGAAAATCACTCTAAACATGACCCAAATTCTCAAATGTTTAAGAATATTTCGTTCCAAGATATTCTTGATCTCGAGAATAGTAGATATAGCAACGATTTCTTTGAATTGAAGTTATTAGGTAAAGGAGGATTTGCGAGTGTTTGGCAGGTAAGCATTTTAAAGCGTTTCCTTTAATCTTGAAAATTACATACTAAACCAACGTTCAATTTTTTATTTTTATTTTTATTTTTATTTTTATTTTTTTTTAAAAAAAAAGGCTAGAAATAAACTAGATGGGATAAAATACGCGATAAAAAAGGTCAGATTGCGTGGCGATAGAATTCCAGAAGAAAAGGAAAAGGTAATTCGTAATTTCGTCTCGTAATATAAATGCTCTTCTTGGTTGCATTTTAATTAATATTATTTCATTTAGATTTTTCGTGAGATTAAATTCCTTGCTAGATTAGAACATAAAAATGTCGTTCGATATTATGGTTCATGGCTTGAGCATATCAATAGCAAACAGCGAACTGTAGAGACTGAGTTATCTTCATTACATTCATGGGAGCATACTTCAAAATCAAAAGATTCCAATAAATCATCAACGAGCGGTAGTAGTAAGATAATTGAAGACGGTTCACAAGATGATTCGGACATCTTTAGAATGTCATTTTCGGATGATGAACAGAAATCAGAGGATTTCAGTGGAATTGATTTCGTAAGAGAGGACCTCTCTGCAGTAGGAGGATTTAACTCTTCGAATTCTGTTCATGAATATTCTTCAAGTCTCGATCATTCTCATGGAGAAAACTTTATCGCAGTATGCCAAGATCTGGGTGATAATACGCAGATGGACAATAATCGAGACTGGATGCTCTTTATCCAAATGCAATTATGTCATAGCAGTTTACGTGATTATTTAAAACGTAGAGATTCTAACCTCTTGACCACTAAGAAGGATCCATTAAATGCGATTGATCGTCATGCTAGTATTGAATTGTTTCGTGGTATCGTTCACGGCGTTGCTTATATTCACTCTCAAGGATTAATCCACCGTGATTTAAAACCGGGAAATATTTTCATGGGCATCGTTCTCGACAATGGATCTGATCAGAATAGCTGGATTGCCGCAGATAGTTCATCATTCTCCGTTGAGCGTTTAGTTCCTAAAATTGGTGATTTTGGATTAGTAACTGCAGTGGATAACGGTTCTCCTATTGATGATGTCATACTTTCTAATATGTTAAAGTTTAGGGATGGAGATAGGAGTCCTGATAACATACAACATGGTTCTGCCTCATCTTCTTACAATTATAAATCCAGAAGAACCACCGGAGTTGGTACGATTACGGTACAATATATCTTTCATAATATCTAGTTCATATGTTAGGCATTTCTTTAAAAATAAAAAAAAATAATAATAATAATAATTTTTTTTTTCCTTTTTCCTTTAGTACGCATCACCAGAACAATTGGCAAAACCCGCTTCTTCTTATAATGAAAAGGTGGACATTTATTCTCTAGGCATCATATTCTTTGAACTACATTACCCGTTTTCAACTCGACACGAACGTATTCAAGTTTTAAAAAATTTGAGGAATGGAATCTTGCCAAAAGGATTTGTTGAAAAGTTTCCTAAAGAAGCCGCATTCATTTTATGGATGATGGCTGAAGATCCGGATAAAAGGCCTAACGCGAAGCAAATTTTAGATTTTGAGTTATTGGCGGGACCTATTGATGTAATTATCATTTTTTTTTTTTTTAATTTTCTTATTCTTGAAACGTTTATTAAACGGATCCACACATTAATATCTTTATTGACATTTTTTATTTCTAAATTTTGTTCAGGGTGAACATGCAGAAATGCAACATAGACTTGTGCAAAGCACACAAAGATTGGATGTGATAACAAAAGAAAATGAAATATTAAAGAAAAAGGTTGCAGAGTTAGAAGAAAAATTAGAAAAGTGCAAATGTGGAGTACCATATTTTTGATTAACTTTTTAAGTTTCAAATTTTTTTTTGTTTTATTATTATTATTATTATTATTATAAAAAAAAAAATAAGCTTGATCGATATTTATCGTTCAAAAATTTCTTATACAAGTAATAAGTAATTTTTTATCCTTCGTGTAATAATAAATACAAGTTTAGGTTGTTTTTTTTGAAATAAAGAACTTTTGATGATATATATGTATAGTTATCGTATTATTAAGAGCGGGAACTAAATGAATGCCCAACATTACAAAACCACCTAATCGTTTATACATGATTATGACGTAACTTTTATTTTTCCCAACCTTTTAATGGTTTTTTTACAATAACTTATGCAGCGTTTAGGGCGAGTTTCATCTGAAATTGTAGCAAATAACTTAGTAACGCATGAATTCTAGGTATCAGATACAAGTCTGAATCTTGGTTAACACCAAATCTAATTTTGAAATGTGCGACGACAATATTGATTCCGCGCATGATGTCATCATCATTGTGCACCCGTTTGGTTTTGCGGATGCGGATTTTAGAAAAAAATCAGGTAAAAAATAATAATAATAATAAATAAAAAGGAAAGATAAAGTTAGAGGAGGTGCTGAAGAATTATAGGGAAAAAATTTAGGTCACTAACAATAGAATAAATAAACATGAGAAGGTGGTATAAATAATCATAGTAAATTGCCCGAAGAAAAAAAAATTACAAGTGTAAACCCAGCGGAATTTACACTTTAAAAAAAGTTCTGGGACGAATTGTGCAGTTCAAGGGGTTGATCGATCCTTCAGCGATCACCTCGTGTACAGTTTTAAAAGAACTGATCTAGGGGATCAGATTGATAATTCTAATGAGAATGACACATTATTTAACTCATGAAATAAATTTCTTGAAAAATATAATTTTATAAATTTGTTAACTTATTTAACTTTACATAACCTTATATTTTAAATTTATGTAAATTTATACTTAAATAATTTTTCTGATATAATATTTTAATAATTTATGAATTTTTTAATATATTTGTGAATCCGCCTAGCGATACTTCCCTTATAAGAATTAATATCGTTTAAATAAGATAGGTGTTCAATATTCTGTTGAAAGACACGCATAATTGACGTGAATAATGAAGTTACCGGAATTTTTAACATCTCTATTCGTGAAAATAATGCGATGGGATAATCATTGTGTCCGGTATCAGTTCTCTGTAATAAGTGGATCGTGGATCCAATTTTCGCAAAAATTCCCATGCAGAACGTGTGTTGTTATGAACAAAGTGATAGTCACATAACGTATTCGTCCCTTAATGGAGAACAAGAAAGAAATCGTAACAAAGTTCTGCATGTTTACGGATCCAAAAAAAAACTTTTTTAATACGATTGTAATTTTTTATAAGAACGAATATTTGGGAACAAAGAATTGATCGATTCATTAATTCTAACATCATTTATTGACATTTTAAATCACATGGCGACTTTGACAAATGACCTTTGTAACGACTTCAAATGATTCAAATCGATGATTCTTACAATGAGAAAATGATTGGATGATCGTATGCTGTTTATTTTTTTTGATTTTTTTTTATTTAATGATGCTGCAGTTCATATAAAACGAACGGTTCTCAAAAAGATTTCGGGAATTGCCGTCTAAAAAGATGGACGCCCCCAATTGGATGACAAAGCAACTATTCAAGTATAAATCCTATATTTGGGCATCAAGTTGTCAGGTGATTTTATTTTCGTTGTCGTTAAGTTACAGATTCGATGAATGAGTTTTTGTCTGTACAAATGTATAATGTATAATTTAATTCTTTTGCTATGCTAATATGGGAGGTTTGCTAGGAAAATGGGGCTCTGGAATTTTTAGCAAAATTTTGTTTTGTTATTGCATTTTAGTTTTTTGATGTTATTAGATTAAAATGTAAATTTTAATCAAAAAAATTCCCAGAGCCCCATTTTCCTAGCAAACTTCTCATATGCTCTATATGCTAATGCTGTAGTACAGAGTTAAAGTGTTGTGAGTGAATTATTATATGCAAGTGTGATAAAATGAAAAGGAAAGAGAAATAAAAAAAATTATTCTAATGAAAAAAAAAAAAAGAGTAAATGTAAATTGTTTTTAAAAAAAGAAAAAAAGGAATGAAAAAAAAAAAATTTACAAAATCGAAATGAAAGAATAATATACATAGAATCCTATCTTAATAAAGCTTTCCTTTACTTTTACTAAGAGCGACACCAATATAAATAGAAACAGAAGCCAAGATTAAAAAATTAAATAAACATCTTTTGGCCCACTTTAATCTTCCAGTATTAAATTTAGTATCACTTCCTCCTTCACTCGAGTTTGTTTCTTGTTTTTTAACTTTATATTCATTACCAAATAAAATGAAAAATGAACCAATTATCCAAAGTGGCCATATTATAAAGCCATAAATATAAAGTCTTTTGGTAATAGGCCAATATTGTTGTGGTTCTACTGGAGCCAGATAAATCAACGGTTCGACAAATAATGCTTCATCGATTCTTGGATGATTATAATTTTGAGGTGAATCAAGAAGTGGGTCTTGATCTAATGGATACTCTGGCGGCATGTCTCCTACTACTATCGAGTAGGAAGGTAAGTAATCTAATGGTAATATTGGTGTAGTAATATTCGAACGAGCAAGTGCTCTTGGTGGTATTGACGGAAGTAGTCCATTTCGTGAAGAAATATTTGTTACATTTGAGTTGAAATCTGTGGATACATTATTATTTGTGGAAACATTTGTTAATGCATTATTATTATCATTACAAGTTGACAACACGGACGGTGTTGATGATAAATCTTGATGAATGTGAATTTGACATAAAGAAGAGATTGGAGTAGAAGTTCTATCTTGATTTTGATTTTGAATTAAATCATTTTGAATATTAAAATTTTGGTTTGTCAAGGTTGATTGCATTTCTTTGAAAAGAGGGAAAAAGTGAGGGATGAAACGATAATTCAAATCCGTGCTTTATTTATATTAAAAAATAAATAAATAAATCTTTTTTGTACACTTTGTGGGTTGAATATCGGAAAAATGTAAAATATATTTAATCAAATAATTATTGTTTTTGTCTCCCGAACAATGAAAAGATTATTATACCGTAGTTATTTATATAAATGTTCTACCTTTAGAATCTTCTAACTTCCTAAAATGATTAATGATGAATCAATCTTATGTATAATGATTTTGGAATTACAATGGATTTTGATACCCTTTGACAAAAAAATTGTCGTTGTTCTTTGCGATATCTGATTGGATGAACTTTTCACGCTATTATAAAATTAATATAATAGGTTCCTTAAGGGTTATATTGAATATAGTTATGGGAAATAGTGGGAGATGAACTTTCTTAAAAGATTAAATCTTTAATCCGATGGAAAAAAAAATTTTTTTATTTTTCTTTTCTGATTCCTCCGAAATGAAAGAAAAGGAAAAAGAAAAAAAAAAAAAAAAAAAAAAAAAAGGAAGGATTTAATACAACAATTTTACCGTGAATAATTGCTTATTTTCACACATTTGAGAAAATAATTGTCAAGGGCGAAAAGGTTGCGCGCGTGTATATATATATATATATAATTCTTTATTTATTTATTTACATATAAATAGAAATGAAAGTTTAATATATGAAAGTGTATATGAAAAAAAAAGAAATAATTCAAACAAAGAAATAAACAAATAACCTTTGTATTTTTTGGTGTTACCTTGTTTTAATAATGTTTAATTTTTATACCAATTTAGATTTACCCAACCCATAAGTAAAATTCCGAATTAACGGGTGTTACCAATTTTCTCGAAATAATTTAATTGGACACTATCTATAAATATTTGTTTTAATAAATTCGAATCATCCTTTTTTTTTTTTTTTTCAATGATTGGAGATCTTCCTGATTTAGGTTGAATGGACATTTTTGGCTTATCGGTTAACAACCCTCTCGTGTAGTTTTACTCTTTTTTTTATTTTTGTTTTTTCGTTGAATGAATGTGATATCAACAACGGAAATATACAAAATCTTCTAAAAGGACAAAGGTATAATTCTTAGGTAAAATGGAAAATTTAACAAGGAAATTTTGGTTTATTAAAATTTTATGTATAAATGTGTATAATTTACGCGTTATCAATTAAGCTTGTACTCACACATAGATATCGATTACACGTAGATGTGTGTTTATCTAATATTAGTGCGCATAGAAAAAAAAAATAGCGTTTCAAAAACCCAATTGTCAATATTCTCAAAGATTTGCGCAAAAAATTTCTCATTTCTCATATATTGTAAGCATTCGCACATTAGCAACGCATCTTTTTTTTTTTATTGAAGGAATCAAATCATCTCTCGTTCTTTTCTTGTATTTAATTAGTTTCATCCAAATATAGAACAAAGTAGGTTGATCAACACGTAAAAAGACAACCAGCAATGTCATTACCTGGAAAGTTAATTTTAACGAACCAATGATTAATCCCTCCAAAATGTTGCATATATTAATTAGTGCATAAACTTAATTATTTATACTTTGCACAAAATAGGTCCCAGGACTCGGGAAATTATCATTATTAATTATTTCCTTTTTTGATCAATGAATAATTAATTTTCCTAATAAATATAATTTTATCCATTGATTCCCGATAAAATTTTTTAATACTAAGTTAACCACTCGATTTTCTATGGTTAACTCGTCGATTACTAAATATCTCCCTTGAGAGTCCGGCAAGGAGGCTTGCATGTCGCAAAATCTCCAATAAAATTTTTGAAATCATAAATTCAAGGGAAATATTTTATTTTAAAAATATATATATTTATATTAACGACTTTAATAACGCGACATTGTGTACATGTCAAATTAATGATTATATTTCAAAAAAAAACAAAGAAAAAAAAAAGTACCAATTAAATAGAGATTTTACAATGAATGATAATTTAAAAGTCGAACTATATGTATATTTATTCTACAAAAAAAAAAAAAAAAAAATTGTTCATTTAAAATTATATCTTCTAATCTCTTATCTTTACTCTTTAATCTTTACAATAAATAAAAAAAAATATACAAAAATGATATTCTAAAAATAAAGTTGGAAAGAAAACAATCGCCAAAAACAACTTCTATTTCTCAAAAATACAAACGCATTCTCCAGATAAAAAAAATCAATAAAATAAAAAATAAAGAATGCAAGTTCCTAAAAGGCAATAAAAAGAATATATATTAATTTTAATATTTTATCTAAAATACATTTTCAATGTAAATTCTTCAACTAAAAATTATCAACTATAAATGTTGGCTCTCTCTTCAACACGCCTCCTTATCTCCCGTACTTAAGCGTGAGATCACGGAGAAGAAAGAAGGTCAACATTATATAGTGGATGCGGTAATTCTTTCATTTTATCTTGCGAGTTTGGAACAGGAGAACTTGGTATTGGAGGTGTATGCAATGGTGAATTGGGTTTTGAATTTGTATTACTTCCAACTCCTAAACTCATAATCGCACCTAAACTATTGGACCTTGAATGTGATTTGGAACTGTTACTACTACTACTTTTACTACTGCTACTATTACTACTACTACTACTACTACTACCGTTACCAAAATTTAAACCTAAACCTAATCCGCTTGAATTTATACTCGTATTCGTCGCTATCATTAGTGATTTTTCTAAATCAGAATTGCTTGATCTTATTTTGGGTGATGGTGAATTACTATTATAATTATTATTTGATGATAAGGTAATCGGACTTAATATTTGTTTCTCATAAGTTGGAGTACTAGTTCCCGAAATGGTACGTAAATATGGTGAAGAAGGTGGTGTTGTTCTTACGCCAAGAGAAGGTAATGAATTACGATTACTTTCCCCTCTTGATAAAAATAATGATGGGAATTGCCTTCCGTTAGAATTAATTGAAGTTGTAATACAATTATTATCTTCAGTTATTTTAGTATTTTTTGTCCCAAATGACATCATTTCCCTAGGTGCGCTATTAAATTTACTTTCTTCTAATTCTTCTACAGGTGTAGCAACTTTACTACTTTCATTACTATTACTTTTCTTAATGTATGTGTTATTTTCATCTAAATCTGAATTAATTTTACTTGCGATTGCGACCACATTAGAATATGCTGCTGCTGTTAAACTTGCAAATACATTCGATCCTTTTTCTCTTGCTGAAGGTGTTAAATCCCTAGTACCATCGTTACCATTAAAAATGCCATTGGTTTCGGTATGCGTTTTCCATGGGTCCAATCCTGCATCAAAATCGACCATGGATTTTACAAATGGAGAAGAAATATTTGTCATAACCGATGCTATATCTTCCACAATATTATTGGAATTTAAGTCCCCAATTCCCATGGCTCCAAGAGGATCCGTCATAGCATTCAATGATCCCGTTGGACTATCTGATCTCCACTTTATTCTCGCTCCCATTCCTTCTTCTGATTTTTCATCACTTCCTTCATCTCCATTCCCATTTAATTCTTCATCTTTCTTCCTAAATAACCCTGCCCAATATTTAACATTTTTCGCGTCAGGATATAACACTCCCATGTCTCTTGGATCTCGATCTTCTTTTTCCCCACAATATGACGGATTTAAAAATACTCCTTTGTTACTATTAAAATAATCCCATACACTGTGAGTTTTTTTATTTACATTATATACATGCCTTTCTTTTTCACTATTAAATAAAAATGTACCAAATTGACACGAGTAACTATGATAATGTAAATCTACTAAAAATCTTTCATTAAATTCAAACCGTGTCGGATTTTGTTGAAATAATTGATAAACGCAATCCAGAAATTGGTGAAATACTGGCGATGTTTCACGAACATGTGACTGTTTAAATTTGCTTTGTACTGAACTAAATGCTGATCCTGCAGCATTCGTATTTGATGCATTAATAAAATACCGTTCATTCGATAGATGTCCGGATCGGTCACTGAATTTGTGCCCAAATGACACCCACTCTTTTTCAATTAATACTTGAAATCCATTAAAAGTACGATAATATGGGTCCAAGCATAATTCTGAAATCGATGTTAATTGTGCTGTTCGGTCCCATCCATCTGAACAATGCACAAGTACGTGTGAAGCCTTGACATTCACATTTTCAATAATTACATATGCTGAACTCAACAATACACTGACATGTTTAAGCCAATTAGACTTATCTAATTGATATTTCTTTATAGGTAATCCTTGTGAATCTGCAGCCTGTAACACTAAATAATCAAATTGGCTTTTTTTTAAAAAAAAAAAAAAAAAAATTTTCACACGAAATAATTTAATTATAAATGATTGATATTTACCCTCTACTACTTTCGCCAAACTTTCTCGCATTACATGGATATTATCAATACCCATGAATCTCTTTTCGCAATTTTTATAATATTCAGTATTTTCTGATCCAAGCCCCATTGCTGCATTAGCCATTGCGTTCGCCGTTGGCCGTGCGTCAATAATCAAATTATGGGCTGTCGATCCGTATACGGGCCGTCCATTAGGTGAAATATTTAGATGAGATTCAAAAATCGCCTGAATAAGTTTTTCATCTTGTATTGAACGCTTTTGTTGAATTCCAACCATCGGTTGGCTGGACCGTGTTATTGAGGCCTAAATCACATTAATAAAATTAATAAATGAATTGTATCCGTAAAATTTGAAGCTTTCGGAACAATAAAATATCATAAATACCTTGTTGCGGTGTAGATAACTTAAAGTTGGTATGCGACATTTACTTCTGAATTTAGCTGCATAGTTCAGATGACTATCGCTAATTTTGTGGGGAACGACCAAAATATATGGATAAGTAGGACAGAACTAAAATCGAATCAAATAATTATTAATTTATTAACATTAAAAAGAAAAATTATAAATGAATCAAGTTTATATACGTTATAGCTCCGATTTACGTGCGAAAATCTCCACGTTTCTGTTATGGTACAGATACCCATCCGGTCAAATTCTTTTAGTGGATCATAGACGTTCCATCCGTCTTGGCTTTTGAATTCTTTCTCGGGTGTATAATAAAATGCATAAACTTGACTAATAGAACCTTTATCAAAAAAAAAAAGTAGATTGATTTATTTGAATGAATTCAAAGATGAAAAAAAAAAAATCATTAAATCAGTAATGCCTAGGTTTTTCAAAAAAAAAATTTAAATGCATTATATAATGAAGATACATAAGACGATTCACATACTGATACAGGTTAATTTTTGTATTGTATCAAATACATCGATCGCTTCGCGTTCTACTGGTACCGATAACGTAACAAAAATAAAGTTACGACACTTTATTAGTAAGGGCCAGAGTTTTGGCTCTGAAGTTGGCGGACGACGTTCAACGGTATGGATAATTGGATATGAAATCTGTTAATTAAAAACCAATGGTCAATTTTAGGATAATTTTTATTATATCTCCATGAACTAAACGTGATACATTTTTAGTATACGTTGAAAAGTGTACTTTAATCATCCAAAGAAAAAAACCAGAAAACTTCAATTATCTGTTACGCCTAAGTAAATTAACTCATATTGGACTTTGGTCCTTACCAATCCTTCAAGAGCAAGAATTAAGTATTGAGTAAAACAAAATGCTACCTACCCATAACTCTTCTTTTTCGTTTGAATATTTAAAAATCATTTGGTGTGTTGTCAAGTGTAGCGTACCCTCAATGACTTCCTTCGATTTTTCAAGTTGCACATTTTGAACCTATATCATCGCCAAAAAAGTATTTATCAAAACATAAATACAAATCCATTAAAACCAATTATAAGCAATTAGTAACAACTTTTCACGTTAAAATTTACAGTGTAATATGATGACGAACCTTTGTGAGCTTAAGAAAGTCCATGTCGACTATAATTTTATCAGTCGTACTAAACAAAGGTTGTTTACGACGACCAACCGTTTTGTGAACTAACTTTTTAAATTTGAAGTGCTTCAATTTTGCTAATTTTTTGAATAATCGTTATATAATTTTTTGGAATTTGTCTAAATTATCCAAGGGAGTTAGTTGGTGTGACAATGATGCAATGATAGCACTTGTTCAAGTGCGGAAAATTTTTTTGCTGAATCTAGAAAATCTTGTTTATCATTTCCAATGAAATGTTCCCCCGAACTTTATTCCCATATCTAAAATAAAAAAAAAAAAAAAATCCATGAAAATTTCATAATCAAATTCAAACACACCAATCTGAAGGTCATAACCATTTTTTCTTTTTAAAATTATTATACACGGAAATTTACCTTCAAAATGCATCTTGAAGTCGAACGTCTTTGCAAATTGAAAGCTGACGGAACTTTTTTGTTTAGGGATGTGTCATTATCTTTGAAAGATAAAGAAATCCTGTCTATTTCTGGGCCAAGTGGTTCCGGGTAAGTATTTCCTGATTTAAATTAAATTAAATGGAAAGTAAAATTCGTAATATTGATTTATGTCTATTTAAAGGAAGACAACATTACTAAAATGCATTGCGCAGTTGACGTTGTACGAGGAAGGAATAATTTACTTGAACAGAAAGTAAGTAATTATTAATTGTGAGAATTTTCTCATTACTTACGTGATTAATCTAACAATAGGTCTCCAGAGGATTACGGAATTCCCAATTGGAGAACCCGTGTTATGTATGTTCCGCAAAGGGCTCGTATGTATAATAATTAAAAAATTGATTTCCTTATTCGAAAAATCAATATAATTACTAATTGAACTTGTAATGTTATTAGCCATAATGCCGGGTAGTCCAATGGAATTCTATCAGAAAATGCTATCGTTTAAACATCAGAGATCGAGAAATTGCCACGTCGATCCTGTAAGTTTCTGCGATACTTATTTTGAAATTGCTTTTGTTCAAGATATTAACAAATATATCTTTTTAATTAAAGATTGAAATTTCCCAACAGTAAGAAGAACATACTATTTTTTTTTTATACGCGTTCAGTGCTAATTGTTATTTCTTTAGATGGAATGTTAGGGACGAATCATGGGACAAGGAATGGAATCAGTTGTCAGGAGGAGAGATTCAGCGTATTTCGTTAGCAATTGCTTTATCTTGTAAACCCGATGCGTTACTTCTCGATGGTAAATACATGGCGCTATAAAATTTTACCACAATCGTATATTAGCTTAAAAAATTTTTGTTTTGCCTTTATAGAACCAACATCTGCTCTTGACCCCGACACGTGTCTTTTAGTTGAAGAGTCGCTTAAAGAATACGCGTGTATTCTGGTGACCCATAATCCAGAACAAGAAAGACGTATCGCGACAAATTCATTCATGTTGAGACATCATATAGATACTGAAGATAATGCAGATGTATCGATAGACAATTGAAATATACTAACATGTATGATTGAATTAATTATATTCCCGTATTTTTTCGTACTTTACACATTATTTATTTATTTAGCATTTAGAAATATTTATTTATCTTAGAAACAATGTTTAGGTGATCACATGTAATCTAAATCTTTAAATGGATGATTAACCAATTTTGATTAATATTAAATTAATATATTTAATTTATCCTTATATAGTAATACAATAATCAGATTTTATAACTATTTCTGGCATTTGTTTGGGGGGTATCAAAAATAACGTCATTTAATATTTAAATTTAAGAAATCTAAAATAGTTTCTTGTTTCCCTTATGTAAAAATCGATATATAAAAAATATTAATATAAAAATTATATCTTAGTTAAAAAATAATCAAAATATTTTTTAAAATTAATTAATATATCAAATAATATATAAAATATTAAAACGTATATAAATATATACATTATTTTATTTCTCAAATTAAATTATTAAAAATAAGTTTATTTTATTATAAATTTGTAAAAAATATTAAAAATATAATATAATAATTATAATTATATATAATTTTATATAATTTTTTTTTTTATTATTTATATTCTTTTATTTTAAAATTTTTTAATACTTTGTAATAATTTATATTTATTCCTTAAATTATAAAAATTTGAAAATAATTTTATTTGCTTATTTATCATAAATTTTCTTCTGATTTACTTTTATGAAAATTTAAATTAATTTTATAAATATATATTATATTATCCTTAAATTATAGGATTTTATAAGCAAATTTACCTGCTTATTTATTATAAATTCTCTTTTAATTTACTTTTATGAAAATTAATAATTTATAAAAAAAAATTTTAAAATTAATTTTTATAAATACATACTATATAATATTATAGTAACTTTTATTTTTTAATTATATAATAAATAATTTAAAGTTACTTATAAGCTAATAATTTGTAATTATTAAAATTTTTAAATTAAAAAATTTTATTATTGACTTTTAGTAATCTTATTAACATTTACTTTTAGCAATATTAATCATAATAGAATATTATAAAATTTATTATAAAGAATAATTTTAATTATTATAATTTTTGAATTTTAAGAAAATTTTTAAAAAATTATTATTATAAATATTTTAAAACTTAAATTTTAAAATTGAATTATTTAAAAAATCTTTTATAAATGTAATTTTTTTTAAGAAAATTGATAAAATATATATTAAATTATATTTTTTATATAATAATTATATTATTAACATTAATAATTTATATTTTATTAAAAAAATTAATACATTTTTTTATATTTGTAAGTAAATTTTCTTACTCTATAATTTAAGAAATAGTGTATTTTATTTATTAATTATATATAAAAAATCTAAACTTATTTATAAGCTAAAATTTGTAATTTAAAAATTTTTATTATTAATTTTTGATAATTTTATTAAATTTACTTTTTTAATAATATTAAATATAATTTAATATTATAAAATTTATTATGAAAAATAATTTTAATTATTATAATTTTATATTTTATTACAAAATTTTATGATTTTTATTAATATAAATTGATTTAATTAGTTCATTTTAAAGAAATTTTAAAAAATTATTATAATAAATTTTTAAAATTTGATATTAAATTAAATTATTTAAAACTTTCTTAATAAACTTAAAATGTCTTTTAATAAAATAAATAATCATATATATTAATTATATATATATTATAATCGTATTATTTAAATTAATTTGTGATTTAAATATCAATCAGTAAAAATCAATTAATAATTAATATATATTTTAAAAATATAAACTTTAATACAGTTATAAATCTTTTTTTTTCATAAAGCGATCAAATTTTTTTTATATACATATCATAGAAAAAATAAAATATCATTAGTTCATTATATTAAAAAAATAATTATTCCTTAATATATCAAATTAACATACTTTTTCTCTTTTCATATTTATTTTCTTAAATATATCTAATATAAGGAGTATAAAATCATATTAATTTATTTAAGCTTAATAGTAGATACTTTATATTTTAAACCTTTTTGTTATAATTAGTAGATCTTTATATTTTCTGAAAATGTAAATCTGATATTATTTCACTCTATTTTTTTTTATTTTTTTTTGATTTTTAACGATATGGTATTCTCACGAATTTATTTATTAGATTTATTATTTTAAATGCACTAATCTATATAAAACAAAGTAAAAGTTACAAATATAAAATCTAGACTAAACTGCAGTTACCCTTCATAACTCTATTTTAAGCCTGTTTGAGTCGACCAATCACTGATTTTCTCTCTAAAGAGTTCACTAAAACTATTTCTAATGAATAACTTATCAACAAGAAAAGCTAATAAGATTGTCAATAATACAACGCTATTCCTTTAACTAACCACTAATCTCCTAACTCACAGAAAATTAATACCTTCTAGAATACACAAACCCGAGATTAGCTTCTGAAAAAAGAAAGGTTAAAAAAAACAACCAACTCCAACAAGTCTCTAGCTAAAATGCCTGGTTGATTTCTGGTTACAGTGATCTCTTACAACAGGAACACTCAAAACACTAAGATCATCAGATGTTCCAAGGGAATGGGATTTACTGGCAACTCCATTAAGCCTATGAACTTTTTTCCTATCTATTTTAAGACCCAAATG